GAGGGTTTTTTTAGGGCGTCGAGGCCACAAACCGGGCAGGATCTCCTTGAGGGAAGAAGAGCCTTACAAATGCCGAACCCCCTTCCCAGCTGCCAAGGCTGCCCTCACTCTAAAATGGATAGGGGTGAGGGGTGGGGGGTGGGGTGGCGGATGAGTCACGAAGGTTCAGCCCGAGCGCCGAGCAGCGGGAGGAGACTCATCTGCATTTCCAAAGGCCCGCCCAGTCTGCATCCCCTCCCCCAGGAATGGTCGGAGGTGTGAGGGTTTACCCTACAGCCCTCCGCCTCGGGGGATCCCGGGGAAGGCCCGCTCAGCTTTCCCAGGCCCCAACCCCCCACCCTACCCTCCGGAGCGCCGGTGGCCAGCACTGTCTTCATGGCCACCTCGGGACGTCTGTGGCCTGCGTGAGGGCCTCACGCTCAAAGCAGGGGAAAAAAGGGGCCCACCCGCCCCTCGGGCTCGGCTATCAAAAAGGGCGGTTACCAAAAAAAAAAAAAAGGGCGGTTAGGGGGCCAAACGTGGGCGCCGAGGCTCGAGTGGGCAGCAGGGAGGGCCTGGGGTCAGAGCAGGGCCGCGGGGGGGAAAACTCCGCAGCCTCTAGAGCAGCCCTTCGGGGTCAGGAGGCGGCCTCGAGCGGCCCCGTGGCCCTTTGCTACTGGCTCCCGGACGGGAGGAAAGAAGAAAGGCCCCGCCCGGGAGCGAGGCCTCGTGCCCGCGGGGGCTCCTGAGTAGGGCGCGGGGTCCAAGGAGGCTGCGGAGCCCTCTGTCTTCGTCTAAGCTTCCCCGGCCCGGGGGCATACCCCTAGGCAGCGGCCTGGAACGCGGGCGGCGGCCTCCCCTCCCCTTCCCCCCGCTCCGGCCCCGCCGCCTCCTTCCCTCCTCCCGCCTGGCGCGCGGCGGCCGCCACCGCCCGAGCCGCGGGCGGCGCGCGCGAAATGGCGCCCTTCTGGCCGCCTCGCCCCGCGGATGCGAGCGCGGGAGCCGCGGCACGCGACGCCCCCCAAGGCCCGCGGCCCTCGAAACGGCCTCGGAGACCAGTCCCCGACTCGGGGCGCTGTGCCCAGCGGACTCTCGGGGCTCGGCCCGGCCGACGGACCGCCGCCTACTCCGGGCTCCCAACGACAACCGGGGAAGGAGGGAGGAAGGAAGAGAGCGGCCGCCATTAGCCACCCCGCAGCCCGGCCCTGGCTCCGGCCCCAGCCTCGGCCCCAGCCCAGCCGGCGGCTCTGCTCTGAACCTGAAAATAAAACTCGTGTTTGCGAGGGAGGAGCGAGCGCGGACGGGAGCACAGGCAGCGCTCGGGCTGCAAAGCGGGAGAGATGCTGCGTCATGGTGCCAACATGGACGCCGGCCTTTTGTCCTTTTTTGCTTAGGAAGCGCAGGCGCGCCCAGGAGCCCCGAAAAGCCGGCTTCAGAGGGCGAGACCCCCACCATCAAAAGGAAAAGAGGCCTCAGGCCCGGAAGGAGAGGCTTCCTCAGCTTTTGTGACCCCCTTCCCCAAAGCACTTAAAGTTTCTTCTCCCTATCAAGGCTCAAACCTAGAAAAGCGAGGGGGAACTAGCGCACGCGGCTCCACGGATGCCCCAAGTCGCTGGGGAGACCTTCCTCTTGCCTCCTGGGCAAAAGGGGCAAAGGGTCTGAAGAGCCCTTCTCGTGCCCCCACCCTCCCCGATCCGGCTGCCAAACATGAAGCTCCAGAAACAACCTTCTCCCCTCACCTCCTAAACATTTGCAGCGCTTGGCCTTCTCGAAAAAACATTTCCTCGAAGGGGCAAAAGACACTTTTTTTTTTTTTTTTACTTACCCACTCAGCCCGGTGCCAAGGAGTCTGGAAGATCAAGCTGGGCGGAGGGTTTGGAGGTGTTATTGTGGGGGAAAAAAAAAATATTTTAGGGAGATTGTTTAGTTGGAAATATTTGGGGTAATGGTGGTGTCTTTTTTGTTGTTGTTACCTTTTAAAAGTTACACTCTCATGGCATTTTCTGCTCCTTCCACTTCTGCAAACTTTCCAGGGTTGGGTTGGCAAAAGGCGGCTTCGCTGAGGACTGTTTACTGCTCTGGATATAGCAATGGTGTGACCGTCATTAAGAGACAAAAGGCGAAAATACACAGTCAAATCAAACAAAAGGCAAAAGACGCACCGGCCATCCCAACCACCATAGAAACTACCCCCGAGTTAACGATGGTGTTTGGCTCCAACCAGCTAGGACTTGTTTTCCAGTTTTAATCTAGTTTCCTGTGACGGCTTTAGTCTCTTTACACAAAGAGGTCTTCCTTTCCCTCACACCCCCCCTTCCCCAACAAAGACGAGAAAAACAGTCTGTTTTTCTTCAAATAGATAGATTTTCAAAGAGAGTGTACCTGTTACGGGGAAGAAAGCTGACTAGCATTTATTGCTGTAAACATTTTCAAAAGCTTAACTCTAAAACCTAGCTTTATAAAAGCAAAATCGTCTAAAAGCATTTTAACTGGCTTATGCTAGACAAGAGCGACAAAGACATACATGCAGATGAAGGTTCAGAAAATTAAGGACATCTCAGCAACATTAACATGAAAACTGCACTGCGTAAGGACAGAATGGATTGGGTACTTACAATGTAAAAGGTTTTTAAAAACTTAAGAGTAACGACTGCTTACAATTTTTTGTTGCTGCCATTTCGCTAATCCTAAAACTATACATTTAAAACATTACCTTGTTAAAGAGAGCAGAAGGAGTTAATAAGATGGCCAGTTTTAAGTGTTTAATAGAGGAAACTATATATATAAAAATTTATTGTTCAGTTAAGAGAATACAGATTAAGACAGCTCCAAGCCCCCCCCCACCCACCCAAGAAAAAAAAGAGGAAAAAAAATTAAATATGTCATTTACTTAGGTTTTTTGGAATTCAAAATTGTTAAACTGCTGACATTAATGGTGTGCTATGACCTAGTTATACAAGACAAAGATGGATTCCAAGTCATAAGGAAAAATCCAGATCTTTTTAAAGTCTTCTTCATTCTTCCAATTTTGAGTCCTTTAGCTTGTTGACAAATGTTAAACACAACACTGAGGCGTCCTGAACGGGATGTGGAGTCAAAGGAAAAACATTCCCCATTTGCAACAAAGGAAAAACCCACTTGGCCATTTAATTCCATTGCAGAAAAATGGCTCCCCTCATCTGTTGGCCTCTCCTTGGTGTCTGATGAAGGATGTTTTGAGATCAGCGTCTAATAACTCAAGCCCTATAGAAGCCGCGCGCTGATTGGCTGCCGCGCCCGGCCGCCCTGCTCCAGCCAATTACCTACCCACGGCCAAATTACAAACCCCGAAAAGAGCCCCAATATGAAATACACTACCACGAAGCCCCAGCGAGGCGGCTCCCTCTCCTCGGCCGCCAGACAGGAGAGGTAGAGGGGGCTGCAAACGCGTCCTCGCAAAGCCCGAGAGCCTCGGAGTTGAACTCACAAAATGGAAGCCGCGCGCTGATTGGCCGCCGCCACTCCCGGACCTTTAATAAAGAAAGGGGAAGGAAAGATAAATGCAAAAAGGGGGGACTCGCTCCTCTGCCGGTGGCTGGAGGAAAGGGTGGGGGGTGCGGAGGGAGAAGCATGTGTTCACGACAATTACAAGGGCACTCCTCTCCAAAAATAAAAACAGAAAGAAGCTTCTATCACCCAGGTCCAGGCCTGGGCTGCTTCCTCCCAGGAATGTAAATGCTAATTTGGTTAAAATCCTGGTTTCCCCTCCCCAGCTCAGCTCCGGGGGGAGGGGGCCGCGGGGCAGAAGAGGAAGCCGTAGCCGAGATACCTCGATTGCAACTTGTGTTGGGGCCGCCTTGCCGCCCCTCACGGCTCCTGCCGTCTAAACACACAATCATATACCCCAAAACCCAGCCCTATCCCTTGGGCCCCCACGCGCCCACCTCCGGTCTTGGCAGTTTGAAAACAGTTTTTGAGGCCCGAGGCGCAAGCCGCGGCTCGGAGGGTAGCCCCAGCCGCGGGAGGTAGAGCCCGGGGAGACCCCCCTCCCCCGCCGCCAAGCCCCCCACCTAAGTCCCAGCAGAATAAATAAATTAAAAGGCCTTCCCCCGGGGAGGGGGGAGGCAGTGTGGGAGCGCGCGAGTGAGGGGTGGGGGGCCGCTGGGGCCCGGGGCTTTGGCGGCGCAGCTGCCGCCGCCGGGAGAGTGCCTGGGGAAGCGGCGAGGAAGGAGAGGGGAGGAGGAAGAGGAGGAGGAGGAGGAAGAGGAGGAGGGTGAGCGCTCGGGTCGGGCTCCTTAGCGGTGTATTGTGGGATGTGCGGCTACTGGGAGCCGAGCCTCCGCCGCCAGCCGCCTCCCGGGCAGCAGCAGCAGCAGCAGCAGCGGCGGCGGCGGCAGCAGCTCCGGGCCCGGCAGCCGCGGCGGCGGCGGCGCTCCCCCCTCCCGGCCCCCCGTCCGGCCGCCCCGGCCTCGGCTCCCGCGGGGGACACCATGTACTGGCTGGCGGCGCAGGGAGGCCGGCGCCCGGCGGGGATGTAAGCGCGGCTCGGGGAGGGAGAGGCCGCGGCCGGCAGCCGGGCGTCCCGAGCCCCCAGCCCCGGCCCCTGCTCCGGCCGACCGAGCGAGCGGGCGGGCGGCGCCAGGCCTGCCGCGCGAGCCCCGCGCCCGAGCCGGGCCGAGCGAGCGAGCGAGCTAGCGCCACGCCGGGCGACCGGGCGGCCGGGCGGGCACCATGGGCCGGAGCCCGCGTCCTCCGGGTGCCCCGGGCCCCGCAAGTCCTCACCAGGGGCCCCCGGGAGCCCCTCGCAGCCGCTCCGAGATGGTGGCCGAGCGGGCGGGCGCCTAATTCTCCGGAAGGGTTATTCTCTCGCTCCATTCTTATTTTTTGGGGGAGCCAGCTCCTTTTGGGGCCCGCTGGTAAGGTGGGAGGGGGTGGGGGGCTGGACGATTTGATTCTTTAGCGTGTGTGTAGAAGCGGCCGCCGCCGCCGCAGCCGCGGCGGAGACGACAACAACTTGCTCGTTTTCAGGTTGGGTTAACGGCATGGAGAACAGTCACCCCCCCCACCACCACCACCAGCAGCCCCCGCCGCAGCCCGGCCCTTCGGGCGAGAGGAGGAACCACCATTGGAGAAGTTACAAGTTGATGATTGACCCAGCTTTGAAAAAGGGGCATCATAAACTGTACCGCTACGATGGGCAGCATTTCAGCCTTGCGGTGAGTAGCCGGCGCGCCTCCCTGTCGGCCCCCCCGCCCCCACCCCGAGCCGTGCCGAAGAGGGTGGGGGCTGAGTGGTCCGAGCGGCCCGGGACCCCCCCCCCCCCCTTCCTGACCACCCGGCCAACTGTCAGCCAGGTCCCCAGTCCTGGAGTTTGACAAGTGCCTGGAGAAGGGGGGGGGGTTCCTGTCCCTGACCCTGGGGAGTGGGACCAGCCCACCCACTCCGCCCCCCTTTCCTCTCCACAGATGTCCAGCAATCGCCCGGTGGAAATCGTGGAAGATCCCCGGGTGGTCGGCATCTGGACTAAAAACAAGGAGCTGGAGCTGTCGGTCCCCAAATTCAAGGTAGGACCCTCCCCCGTATCCCGCGCCCCTTCTCTCCACGCCCCCCCCCCCCCCCCCCACACACACACTGCCCGAGTTCGAAAATAACGCCAGTTCAAGCCCAGCCAGATTCTGAATTCCCGCCGTCCGGGGGCTGGGGAAGTTTTGGCGGGGAGGGGGAGGTTGCAGAGAGGGGGTGTCCCCTCTCGGCTACTGTAAACAGAATAACACTAGGTGGAACTGTAATCACGGAGCTGATACAGTGTCTTGCCCGCCCAGCTGGGGGCTCCGAGTCCCCACCTGGCTCCTGCCAGCCCAGGAGCTCGGCCCTGGGACCCGCCCCCATTCCCAGCTTTGTGGCTTTAGGGGGACAGCTTTCTAGCCGGAGGGGTCTTCCCTGCCCTGGCAGCAGGGAGAAGAGGCCAAAGTTGGGGGGGGGGGAAGAGAAACTGTTTCTTTTTCCCCTTTCCTTTCGAACCCAGAGAACTTCCACGTTCCAAACGATTTAATCCTCCGCTTCCCGGGCCCGCCCGCGTGCATTTTTTTTCCTAAAAAAAAAAAAAAAAAAAATTTTAAAATATTTTATCCTTCATTGTTTTCAAAGAGCGGGCGAGTGGGAAATGTTCGGTTTTCCCTTCGGTTTCAATGTTCTCCAAACTCCCTTCCCCCTCGTACCCTGCCAGATCGATGAGTTCTATGTGGGTCCGGTGCCTCCGAAGCAGGTGACATTTGCCAAGCTGAATGATAACATCCGTGAAAACTTCCTGAGGGACATGTGCAAGAAGTATGGGGAGGTGGAGGAGGTGGAGATTTTGTACAACCCCAAGACCAAGAAGCACTTGGGCATTGCCAAAGTGGTCTTTGCCACGGTCAGGGGAGCCAAGGAGGCCGTTCAGCACTTGCATAGCACTTCGGTCATGGGTAATATCATCCACGTGGAGCTGGACACCAAAGGTGAGTGGAGGCCCGCTCAGGACAGCTACCGCCGAGGAGCCCCAAGACCTGTCAGTGTGACCCCCTTCTCTCCCAGGGCCCGTCTTGCAGTGTTGGGGAGCCCCTCAGTTTTCCTCGGTACCCCCCACAACCTTATTTTTCTTTTGCCCCCCTCTTGAGGGTAGAGTCACGTGGAGCTAAATGTGTTGTCTGTTGCTAGGAGACGGAACTGTAATTTACCAAATGTGCCAGTCCTTGGCCACTGCACCCCTAGGGACCACCTGGAGGTTTCCCCACTGCTGACACCCCCGTGGGCCCCTCTCGGAGCCCTGGTGGCCTGGGTTTAGGCAGTCCCCAGTGTTGCTGTGTTAGGAGAGGAGACAGGGTTTGTTTATTGGGGGGGGGGGCGCTGAGGAAGAGCCACGGAGCCGCCTTCAAATTTGCAGAGTAGGTCTCTCCACCAAAAAAGTCCTCCTAAGGGGCTGGGGAGTGCCCCTCCCCCTCTTGCCGCCCCCTCCCCCTGGAAGTGGGAACCAATCTGGGCCCGGAGTGTGGTTTCATTGATAATGTTCCCGATAGAGCTGGGCGGGCTGCTCTGGGTGTTCAAGGGTTGACACTGTGTCTTCCCTCCTCTCTCTTAAAGAGACAGTATCACCTCCCAGGCAGCGGAATCCCGCTCTGCGCTCGCTCTGAGCCTCTGAGCTGCTGGGAGAGCTGGGCTGGGAAAGCCATACCTCCCACTCTCAGGGTCCTGGGAGGCTTCTCCTCCGTGCTGGCTGGGGGGCTCCGGACCTCCAGGGCATCCCCTAAAGTTTGCCTGTGGCCCCTTGGAGTTCCTGTAGAATATAGAAGAAAGTGCCAGGTGCTCTAAGGTCCAACCAGAGGTGACTGGGCAGACACTGTTGGGGTCTTTCCCACTGCCCACCTCCCCCCCCTCCTTGGGGGGGGGGGGTCCCGGGGAACCCTGCCTGGGAAGGTTTAGGTGGGTAACTTCCAGGGGTTCTGTGAGCATGGAATTTAAGGGGCAACTGGGGCATACCAAACCTAAGACCTGAAAAATCTAAATCTTTTTTACCTTAAATACTGAATACATGTCAACTGAGTCTCTAAGTCTTTGCTGGGGCGAGTGGAAGGAGGCTGCTCCTGGTTGGGCAGTTACCCTACAAACTCCTGCCAAACCTGTCCCAGGTCTGAGTCTCCTCAGGGCCCAGGCCACAGCCCCCTTCACCTCCCCTCCTTTTGTCTCTGTCGAGGGAGACCCCTTGGGCGGTGGTAGGCTTATCTTAAGGAGCAGTCAGCCCTCACCAAAATTGCAAAAAAAAAAAAAAAAAAGGCCCTTAGAGACTGCCACTAAGTTTGTATTTCAAGAAAGAGACCGGTAAAGAGTAGCTCAAGGAATGTGTCTCCTTTGCATATGTAAGCAGCTGCCTCAGAGGGCTCTATAAATATCGATAATCTGGCCCCCTGTTCTGTTGAGGCCTCTCTCAACTGGAGGGGGGCTGGGGATGGGGAGGAGCTAGGGTGGAGGTTTATCCGACTGGGGGACTGGGGACTGGGAGGAGGCCTGTGGAGTTCACAGTAAGTCAGTCCTAGAGTGCTTTTACAAACTCTGTCAGTCACCTGAGAGGGTTCACAACAAACTGTCACTTCTGTGTCACTGGGTCTCCTTTTCACTTGCTACTGGACCCTGGCTGTTAGATGGGAAGGCAGAAGGACGGGGATTACCTGACTGTGGTAATGGCTGGCATGGCCCAGGTGACAGGAAGGGGCTTTGTGGTGGGGGTGGCATGTCTATATTTGGGGGAGTCCCAGTGTCATGAGACATTAAACTCTTGAATCTCAGGATGAGAGAATCATAGTTTAGCCGCTTCATTGAACAGACTGTACCTCCCGAATGAGGTACAAAGAGAGAAGTGGGAACTTGGTCAGGGTCACTCAGCTTCCCAAGGTGTGGGGTCCCAGGTACAAAGGGACCCACAAGGATGCCCACCTGTGGGTGCTGCCCCATCCTGGAGCCTCACTGAGGCCTCCCTCCCTTGCCTTTTCCACAGGGGAAACCCGTATGCGGTTCTACGAACTGTTGGTCACGGGCCGATACACACCCCAAACCCTGCCAGTGGGTGAGCTGGATGCTGTCTCTCCAATCGTGAATGAGACCCTGCAGGTGGGTGTGTGACTGTCAGGCCTTCCCCCACCTCACCACCCCATCACCAGTTCCCCAGTGTGCCCCCCACCCCACTTCACCAGCTCCAGCATGGGACACCAGGACCCAGGAGGGAAAGGAGCCTGGCTCTGCCGACCACAGCTTCCAGTGGGATGCAGGGAAGGGTCCTAAAAGCCCTGTCTCCTGAAGTGCCCCTCTGGCTTGGCCCCCCACCCTCTTCCTGAACTCTGGGATTCCCACAGATCAGAGTCTATGTGCTTTCCACGCTGATCCTGAAACATTGCTGTGTTCAGGATCCTGTTGTCTGGCGTCCCATGGACCCCTCTGTTCCACCCCCCCACCCCCGCCAACAAAAGCCTGGTTCAGGTCTCTCCTTCCAGAGCAAGAATGACTCCTCCCTCCTTCCCCAACCACTGCCCCGCAGAACACTCACCTGGATCACCCTCTCGCAAGTGGACCACTCTCAGGAATAGCTTTTCCCAAGTGAAGAGTCTTTGCTTACTCGCTGATCAGCTGGGTTGTCTATCAGGCACTTTACCATGTTATACTATTTAAAGCCTAAAATATCGAGAGGCTGGGGGAACAAGGTGGCCACCCCCTCACTTCCAAAAGCATAATTGGACTCAGCTACCTGTGCCTGGAAGGTCTTTGATTTCTGACAGCCTGAGGCAGGAAGGAAATCCCAGTGCAAACCAAGATGTCAGGGTCTTATCTTTACCCTGCTTCAGGGATTAGGAAAAACCCTAAAGGTTCTCTGAGGATAATTGGCTACCCCAAGATTAGAGAAGGTGAGGCCCATCCAGATATTCTTCTTTAATCTCCCCTCCCCTCTCCGTTCACCATGCTGAGTGACCAGTTTGGCTCCGAGCTCCCAGGCAGACGGAGTGAGAGGGGAAAACCGTCCCATTCTAGTGCATGTTTTTCCCCCTAGCAATCTCAGACCTTTCTCCCTCCTCTCTTTCCAGCTGTCAGATGCCCTGAAGCGCCTCAAAGATGGTGGCCTGTCTGCAGGCTGTGGCTCCGGCTCATCCTCTGTCACCCCCAATAGTGGTGGGACACCTTTCTCCCAGGACACAGCTTATTCTAGCTGCCGCTTGGACACACCCAACTCCTACGGCCAGGGCACGCCGCTCACGCCACGCCTGGGCACCCCCTTTTCACAGGACTCGAGCTACTCCAGCCGCCAGCCCACGCCCTCCTACCTCTTCAGCCAGGACCCCACAACGACCTTCAAGGCTCGGCGCCATGAGAGCAAGTTCACAGATGCCTACAACCGCCGCCACGAGCACCATTATGTCCACAACTCGTCTGCGGTCACTGCGGTGGCGGGGGCCGCAGCCGCCTTCCGGGGCTCAGTGGACCACCCATTCGGGGCAGTTGGCGGCAGTGGGGGCGGCAGCGGGCCCCCATTCAAGGCCCAACCACAGGATTCAGCCACGTTTGCCCACACTCCACCGCCCACCCAAGCAACCCCTGCGCCCGGAGTTGCCTTCAAGTCGGCTTTCTCTCCATATCAGACTCCCGTGCCCCCTTTCCCCCCGCCCCCCGAGGAGCCCACCACCACAACCCCCTTTGGGGCCCGTGACAGCGGTGAGTTCCGAAGAGCACCTGCGCCTCCACCCCTCCCACCCACCGAGCCCCTGACAAAGGAGAAGCCTGGCACACCACCGGGACCCCCGCCCCCTGAGGCCAACAGCATAGAGCTAGGTGGTCGGCCAACCTTCGGCTGGAGTCCCGAGCCCTGTGACAGCCCTGGCACGCCTACGCTGGAGTCGTCGCCTGCAGGGCCGGAGAAGCCCCATGACAGCCTGGACTCACGGATCGAGATGCTGCTAAAGGAGCAGCGCACCAAGCTGCCCTTCCTTCGGGAGCAGGACTCAGACACAGAGCTGCAGATGGAGGGCAGCCCCATCTCCTCCTCCTCCTCCCAGCTTTCCCCACTGGCCCCATTTGGCACTAACTCTCAGCCAGGCTTTCGAGGCCCTACACCACCCTCCTCGCGCCCCTCCAGCACTGGCCTGGAGGATATCAGCCCCACGCCACTGCCTGACTCAGATGAGGATGGTGAGCTTGATCTGGGCCTAGGGCCTCGGCCCCCACCTGAGCCAGGTCCACCAGACCCTACCGGTCTTCTGGGTCAGACAAGTGAGGCGGCCTTGGACCTGGCTGGAGACAGGACCCCAACCTCAGAGAAGATGGATGAGGTACCACATTATGTCTGTGTGTCTCTGTCTGGGCTTGGTTTTGGTCTGTCTTGTGGCACCCTCTTTCCTCCCTGAGGGTAACTACGACACAGAAGCAACAGGGCTAGGACAGCCAAAAGAACAGGTCAAAAATAAAAAGAATGTGCAGAAAGCATCAGGGGCCATGACTGAGCAGCTGGTTTGGCTCTGAGCTCCCTAGCAGCTTTGGCGAAAAGGGAAACTTGACCTAGATCTGTTGCTTTCCATGTTAGGTTATGGAAGTTGGGACTTTTCTGGGGGATAAAGTCTGAGTTGAGTTTCTTTGGTTGAAGTCTGCTGTGATCCCAGAGAGTGTGGACAAGTGATGGTTTTGGGTCCTCTCCTCTGTTGGGTGGCTAGGGCCTGGTCAAGACTAGTCCTGACAGTCAGTTTTGCGGAAAGGGAGCAGCCAGAGTGTTCTGCTGAGCTGCGTCAGGTGGGAGCTCTGGAGCTCTGTCTCCCAGTACCTGGTGCCCTCTGAAGAGACTGGAACCACGTGGGGCAAGGAGGGCATTGAAATTTTCCTTCTCCCCTGGCTTCAAGAGTTTCAAGAGGAGAGCCACAGCCAGAAGCAGGCAAAGCTGACCATCCCCCCGACCCTCTGCCTACCCACAGATCTTCATCTGGAGTCTCTGTCCAAGCTCCATCCTCAGGGTTAGCGTGAGGGATGCTGCCTGCCACATTCTCTTGCAGGGAGATTAAGTCATCTTTCTTGGCTCTGTTCCTCCCCCTTCCTGGTCCAGGCATCTGCCCTGGCCCTCCTGGAGACCTGTTTTGGAACTTGTGAGCCTGAAAGGCTTGAGCAGCCAGGAGCATAGAAGGAGCTCTGTGCCCCTGTGGGTGGTGGGGAGGAGGGTCCCTCCCTCCTTCCCAGGTCCTTTGATTAGGCCGATTTGGCTGCCTCAGGGAGGAACAGAGAGGAACTTGGCTTGCCTGGGAGGGGACTGCAGGTGGCCGGGGCTCCTGGGGGCCTCTGGGCCAATCTGGCAAGTGGTTTCTGGCGCTAAGGGGTTCAGACAGGGAGAGTTGACAGGTGTGCAGAGGTGGGGGTGCTGCTGGCTCTGCCATCCTCCTTTCTTCCCTAGGATAGGGGATGTTTGTTTACCAGGCTCGCTTGCTGATCCAGGGCTAGGAAGCCCAGAGTAGCTGGAGGGAACGGGCTCTCCCACCGGGTCACTGGAGGAAAGGGGAGACTGAGGCCCAGAGAGCTGTGGTCCGGGAAGCCCGGGGACATCAGTCCAGGGAAGCCCAGGGAGTACGGACAACCTCCAAGGTGGCCCTCGGGAGCCCCCTGCCGGCAGTCTGGAGAACGGCTCCCGGGCCCCTCCGGACCGAACCTAAAGGAATCCCAGCCTAGGCTGACCAGGCGGGAGAGCAGCGCGAGGGGGCACTCCCTATCTTCACAGAAGCTGGTGGTTAGAAATTCCGGCTCCAGGCCTTAAGCCTTGAGCCTCGAGTCCCACCTCTGTCACTTACTGGTTATGTGACCTTAGGGAAGTCACTTTCCCTCTCTGAGTCTCAGTTTCATCATCTGTGAAATGGTGGGATAGTGAGAGTATCCGCCTCATGCCGTCTCGGCTTAAGTGAGGTGCTGCACGAGAAATTCCAGGAACTGCACAAACTGATGACCAACGCTCAGCAGCTACTTCCCGCCGGTTCTTGCCCCCCGGACGTGGGAGAGGCGGAGGGAGGGGCTGGGCCTAGAGCTGGAGCGCCGACCCAGGTCTCCTTGTGATTGGCTGGCAGCGGGCCGGGGTTAACCCTCTGCGTGCTGCGCCTGCCTTGCTGGGCGCTGTCCAGGACTGATCTGGCGCTGTCCCTGAATATCAGGCTGCGAGCCTGCCAGTGCCTCCCTCTCAGCACGTATGTGGGACCCTGAGAGGCAGCGAGAGTGTGTGTGTCTGTAGAGGGGACAGAGTTAACAGCCCGAGCTTCCTTCTGCTGCCGGGGATTTAGTTTTCCTCTTCTCCCCGCCCCTCCATATCCCTTTGAACCCTCCCTGGCCTGTAGGTCTGACCTTTGACTTTGTAGTCTGCACGGACCCCTCACCTCCTCAACCTTCAAATGCACTCCCTGTCTCTGGCAACTGACAAAGGCCCTGTCTCCCCAGATGGCACCTGAGCCACCTTTTCGTCTCTGGTCCTGACACAGGAGCCTGGGGGCAGTCCATTCCTCCTCTCCCAACCCCTGTTCTGCCTTCTTGCTCCACCTCTACCCTGTGGACACCACGCCCTGCTCCAGTTCCAGGCCTGTGCACCCAGCTCCCCAAAGCCCCAGGTCTGAATGTAAAGAGGTCCTTGCTATTTCACAGCCAAGTCACACTTGGCTCCCCCATTGGCCTGGTGCCACTGTCCTGGATTCCCACGGCAGCCCCGACCCCTCACTCAGCAGGCACCCTGGGCTCCAATCTCAGCTCTGTTTCTGACCAGCGCCTCTTGGGCCAGTGATTTACATGTGTCTCTCTGAGGGTGTTTTCTCACCTGTCAAGAGACGAATAGAGCCCTTCCTCATGAGGTTATGGTGCAGATAAGAAACATGAGACATTGTGTGCTCACAACACTCAACTCCACCACAGCCTGTACAAAAACTATGTGAAAGGAATAATTAGGGGAAACATACAGACTTATCTCCTTTTCATGCACCCTGACTCCTGCTAAAGCTTCTCCCTCCCTTGCTTCTGTCACCTCTGCCAGGTCCTCTCTGCCACAGTGAAGACTGCAGGCCAGCTGGGAATAAAGGCTGGTGAGCCACTTCCTGGTTGGAATCCAGGCTCTGTCTCAGTGGCTGTGTAGCCTTGGGCAAGTTACTTAAGCTCTCAGTGTTCCAATTTTCTCATCAATAAAACTGGTGATAAACACCTACATTGCAGGTTTTCTGAGGGTTAGCTGAATGAGCATACATAAAGTGCTTAGAAAGGTGCCTGCCAATAGGAAGGGCTGTGTGCTGTGATAAGTTGCTTCAGTCATGTCTGACTTTTTGCAGCCCCGTGGACTGTAGCCCACCAGACTCCTCTGTCCATGGATTCTCCCAGCAAGAATATTGGAGCAGGTTGCCATTTCCTCCTCCAGCAGGGAAGGGCTATAGAAGTGTTATTAACTTTTAGTATTATCTTCTCTGAATACAAATTGAAACAATCTTTCAAATTGAAACAGAATCTTTTTCCTCTTCATGCCTCACTGCCCCCTTCTCTGCTTTCTTTTTCTCCACAAAGGACTATGTATTTCACATTCATCCTAGTCAACCTTTGCCTTATCCCTCTAGAAGTTCAGCTCCAAGAGAACAAGTTTGTCTGACTTGTTCACCATCGTGTCCTCAGCACTTGGACAATACCTGGTATACAGCAGGTGCTGAGCAAATGTTTGTTGAATGAATGAATGAATGAAGCTTCATGATAACCCCATGAGGCAAGTACTATGATGCCCAACATACAGATGGGGAGACTGAGGCTTAAAGGGGTTAAATGACTTGCTCAAGGCCACACGGCTGGGACAGGAAGGGACCAAGATCAGGACTGTGGAAGCCACGTTGCTCACTAGTCTTGCAGAAGGCTGCTTCTCTGACCTTCTGGTGTTGGGAAGGGGAATCTGGGAGCCTGGCTTCTCGGCTCCTCCTCACTTCTCTCCCCTTGCTCTCCCTGCAGGGGCAGCAGTCCTCAGGAGAGGACATGGAGATCTCAGATGACGAGATGCCCTCGGCCCCCATCACCAGCGCTGACTGCCCCAAGCCCATGGTGGTGACCCCAGGGGCCGGGGCCGTGGCAGCTCCCTCTGTGCTGGCCCCAACCTTGCCACTGCCCCCGCCCCCTGGCTTCCCACCACTGCCCCCGCCCCCACCCCCACCTCCACCCCAGCCCGGCTTCCCCATGCCCCCACCTCTGCCGCCACCACCGCCCCCGCCACCCCCGGCCCATCCAGCTGTGACGGTGCCCCCACCACCCCTGCCAGCCCCGCCGCCTGGTGTCCCACCCCCACCCATTCTGCCGCCACTGCCGCCCTTCCCACCAGGGCTGTTTCCTGTGATGCAGGTGGACATGAGCCACGTGCTGGGGGGCCAGTGGGGCAGCATGCCCATGTCCTTCCAGATGCAAACGCAGATGCTGAGCCGTCTGATGACGGGCCAGGGCGCTTGCCCCTACCCCCCCTTCATGGCTGCTGCAGCCGCAGCGGCCTCCGCTGGACTGCAGTTTGTCAACCTGCCGCCCTACCGGGGCCCCTTCTCCCTTGGTAGCACTGGCCCAGGCCGCGGGCAGCCCTGGCCACCCCTGCCCAAGTTTGACCCATCAGTGCCACCACCAGGCTATGTGCCCCGCCAGGAGGACCCACACAAGGCCACTGTGGACGGCGTCCTGCTGGTGGTGCTCAAAGAGCTCAAGGCCATCATGAAGCGGGACCTGAACCGCAAGATGGTGGAGGTGGTGGCCTTCAGGGCCTTCGATGAGTGGTGGGACAAGAAGGAACGGATGGCCAAGGTGAATGGGCAGCATGTCCCCTTGGTGGGGGGCAGGCAGGCCAGAGGCAGAGACCTGGCCTGGCAGCTTCTGTCATCCCCAGGCACCTTAGCAGAAACACTACCACCCAGACCCCCAAACAGAATAGTGTGTGTTATTTTCTGAAACCGGTGTGTCAATGACACAAGTGTGTACTTACTATGTGTTTCTCTTGGATTCCAATCTCCAAAACTCCAGAGCCCCTGCCATGTGTGGGCAGCCATAGTAACAGCTTCTCAGATGAGGAAGCTGAGGGTCAGGGAAGCAGAGTATGGTGCTGGGGGCGTCCTGAGTAGTGACATGAAATGCAGTAGGTTCCAGGAAAGGAAGTGCCTAGTTTGGGCATGGCTGTCACTGTAGAAAGGATGGCAGGCTACTTGGGGGACAGGGTTGGTGGCTGTACTCTAACCACACTGACCTTCCCCTCCTCTCTTGCACCCCAGGCCTCACTGACCCCAGTGAAGTCGGGTGAGCACAAAGATGAGGATAGGCCGAAGCCCAAGGACCGCATCGCCTCCTGCCTGCTGGAGTCCTGGGGCAAGGGCGAGGGCCTGAGCTACGAGGGACTGGGCCTGGGCATCGGGCTGCGTGGGGCCATCCGCCTGCCCTCCTTCAAGGTCAAGAGGAAGGAACCGCCAGACACGGCCTCATCTGGTGACCAGAAGCGGTTGCGACCCTCCACCTCTGTGGATGAGGAGGATGAAGGTGGGGCCTTGCAGGGATCTGGGACCTCCTTGCCTGTGCGCCCCCACCCAGCCCTGACCGCCCTCCCTCCCCGCAGAGTCTGAGCGCGAGCGGGACCGGGACATGGCCGATGCCCCCTGTGAGCTCGCCAAGCGGGACCCCAAGGGCGTGGGTGTGCGGCGGCGGCCAGCCCGGCCCCTGGAGCTGGACAGCGGTGGGGAGGAGGACGAGAAGGAGTCACTGTCGGTGTCATCATCCTCGTCGGCATCCTCGTCCTCGGGCTCCTCGACCACCTCACCCTCGTCCTCAGCCTCCGACAAGGAAGAGCGAGAAAGCACAGAGGAGGAGGGGGAGGGGGAGGAAGAGGGGGAGGAGGGCCCCCGGAGCCAGATCTCCTCCTCCTCAACCTCATCCATGTCAGAGAAGGTATTGTTCGGGCTTGGGGAGGCCTGGGGAGCTGGGCCAGGCGAGGGAGTCCTTCGGCTCACCTGTCCAGCATCCCTCTCCCCTAGGATGATGATGATGAAGACAGCGACGACCAGGATGAGTCTGAGAATGATGACGAGGACACGGCCCTGTCAGAGGCGAGTGAGAAGGAAGAAGGGGACTCAGATGGAGGTGAGTGTGGCTTCTGGCCCTGCCCAGGGTCCCTCTGCAGAAAGCAGAGCCTGCACAGCAGTTAGCAGTACTGAAGGGGTAGGATTGCTTGACTATGAAGTGTGATGTCATTAAAACACAAACACAGCCTGCTGTATAATTCCTTTTTTATGAAATGTCCAGGATAGGTCAGTCCACAGAGGTAGAGAATGAGATGGTTAGATGGCATCACCGACTCAATGGACATGAGTTTGAGCAGACTCCAGGAGATGGCAAAGGACAGGGAAGCCTGGTGTGCTGCAGTCCATGGGCTGAGCAACTGAACAGCGGTAGAGACAGAGAGCAGACTAGTGGTTGCTGCGGTCAGGTGATGAGGATAGAGGGGTGATAGCTGAAGGAAGCAGGCTGCTTCTTGAGCTTGTGAAAATCTTTTGGGACAAAATAGAAATGTCAGTTGTCCACACTGTGAAGGTGCTAAATACCACCGTGTCATCTACCCTAAGATGGTTAGCTTTATGTCATGTGGATTTCACCTCCGTTTAAAAAAACATGATGGTGAGTTAATACACACACACCCCTCCACCTACCTAAGGGCCACATTCACCCCAGTGCCTCCTGTTTTGAGCTCTTTGGTGACGCCTCTGGCTGAGGCATAGCAGATAACAACAGGGCCCCTGATGTGTCCCCCGTGCAGAGGAGACGGTGAGCATCGCCACCTCTAAGCCTGGAGCTGAGTCCTCCAGTGAGAGTTCTGAGTCATCTGACTTCGCATCAAGCTCCGAGTCCTCTTCATCATCATCATCGGAAGATGAAGAAGAGCTGGCAGCTGGGGAGGAGGAAGAGGAGGAGGAGGAGGAAGGGGAGGCAGCTGCAGACGAGAGCATGGCTCCCGCTGCTCCTGACGAGGACTTTGAGAATGAAGTGGTCACAGGAGCACCCACAACGGAGTCACGGGGCCCAGAAGAGGAGGTGGACATTGAGGCTGAGGATGAGGCCCCTAAGGAGCGGACCCCAATGCTGGAAGAGCCCCCCTTGCCTGTGAGTGTCGGGGAGCTGACTGGCTGCAAGGAGTCCCCCGAGGAATCAGGCCTGAACCAGGAAGGGGCCAGGTTGCTGTCTCCAGAACCCCCTGCAGGAGAGATGGAGGCCCGGCCCCTGCCATCCCCAGAGCCCACCCCAGGTAACACTTGAAGCCCATGGGAAGGCGGTAGGAATAGAAACAAGATGTCTTTAACCATCAGAATGAACGAGGGCTCCTTTGTGCCATCACTTAAACTTACCAAATAATTTGCTTATCTGTAAAATGGGATCAATGGATGGTGCTTCCCCCATAAGGTCATATGGGAGGTTGGAGTGAGGTGACTTGCCAGGAGAAGCTGGGCACCTGTTAGACCCCAAAGGGAGGTCTGCTCCTGTCACCATTCCTCACTGTATTTCCCTGGGGTCTAGTCCTTGGACCGCTAATCCCATGAGATGCTTCCAAAAGAGGAGGTGTGGATGTGTATGGTCTTTTAGTGATAGGCAGGCAGAGAAGGCCTCTGGGCCCTGGGCATCACTCACCAGAAGGGTGCTGGGTGGGTTAAAAAGGGCTGTGGGCACTGCCCCCTCCACCATCTTGGTGGAGCTGCACAAAGCACATGAAAGGCTCTGGCAATGCTGTCCAAGAGAACTTTGTACAGTGATCAGCATGTTCTCTGTGTCCTGTCCAGCCCCAAAGCCACTAGACACAGCGTCGCCTAGAGCTTGAGAAAGGGGGAGAGTGTCGCTGTGGGACAGAATTTGCAATGTTGATTAATTTTAGTTAATATAAACTACTTTAGCCACATATGGTTAGTTTGTACCTCTAATAGTCCTTAAGGAGAGCAACCTTTTGTTTAAGTTTTTTATTTGGCTCTAGAACCACAGGTCTTTGCAAATTGTTAAATGTATTTATAAAGCCCATATTTTTGTCTCCTTTATGGTTTTAGGAACTGATAAAACAACAGTGGACCAAAACAGGCAAAAATATCTGCCCTCCTGGAGCTTACACTCAGGGCAGGTTGTTAGATAACAGCCGATAAGTTAGAAAACATATTAGGTGACAGTAGAGAGAAGTGCTAGGAGAAAACCTTAAAGGCTCTGACAAGTCATGCAGAAGAGGGACTTGTTTAATTTTATTCAGTAGCAGAGCTCCTTTTCTTGGTCCACGGGATGTTCCTTGCTCATCGGAACACCATTTTAAAGACAGTGTCAAGGGCGCCAGCCATGTCTCCTGCATTTTTTATTTACTCCCACCAACAATTCTCAAATCCTGCTGTGTATCTGGGAATCCACAGGGTACGAGTGCATACCTAAAGGGTGCCCAGGGCACAGCAGGGTAGCATGAGGAGGGCTCCAAGGGCCATTTGAGTCAATAACTAAGGTCTGCTTTCTGCCCACCGCTCTGCAGAGGACAACCTGGAGGCGGAGCCTGAGCCCCCAGCGCTGCTCTCTTTACCGCTGCAGCCACCATTGCCGCCGCCTCGACCGCCCCGGCCACCCAGCCCACCACCAGAGCCCGAGACCCCAGACCTCCCCCTCCCACCCGTCCCTCTGGAGCCTCCCCCCCATGAGGACCAGCCCCCACGTACTCCGAGCCTCTGTGGCAGCCTGGGCAAGTCCCAGAGTGCAGAGGCGGTGCCGGCTACGCCGAGCGGGGAGCCTTTGCCGACGGTGGGCAGCGGCAGCCTGGCCCTGAGCTCCCCACAGCTGCCCGGCAGCCCCTTCTCCTACCCATCCCCATCCCCCAGCTTGAGCAGCGGGGGCCTCCCAAGGACACCTGGCCGGGACTTTAGCTTCACGCCCACCTTCCCCGAGCCTGGGGGGCCCCTCCTTTTGCCCGTCTGCCCCCTCCCAGCTGGCCGGCGTGACGATCGGTCTGGCCCCTTGGCCTCCCCGGTGCTCCTGGAAACAGGCCTGCCGCTTCCTCTGCCCTTGCCCTTGCCCCTGCCCCTGGCGTTGCCCGTACCCGTCCTGCGGGCTCAGTCGCGGGCCCCCACCCAGCTGCCACCTCTGCTGCCTGCCCCTCTGGCCCCCTGCCCACCCCCCATCAAGAGGAAGCCGGGCCGGCCCCGGCGATCCCCGCCAGCTGTGCTCACCTTGGATGGGCCTTTGGTCCGACCGCCAGGAGGGGCCACCCTGGGCAGGGACCTACTGCTTCTGCCAGGCCAGCCACAGACCCCTGTCTTCCCCAGCACCCATGATCCCCGGACCGTGACCCTGGACTTCCGGAACGCGGGGATCCCAGCCCCCCCACCACCCTTGCCCCCCCAGCCCCCTCCACCCCCACCTCTACCACCTGTTGAGCCCACCAAACTGCCCTTTAAGGAGCTAGAGAACCAGTGGCCCTCCGAGGCCATCCCTCCAGGTCCCCGTGGGCGTGACGAGATCTCCGACGAGTTCATGAACCTGGCCAAGGTGCGGGGGTCCTGGCGCCGGCCACCAAAGAAGCGCCACGAGGACCTGGTGGTCTCAGCTTCGCCTGAGCTCTCGCCACCGCAGCCTCTCTTCCGGCCCCGCTCAGAGTTTGAGGAGATGACCATCCTCTATGACATCTGGAATGGTGGCATCGACGAGGAGGACATCCGCTTCCTGTGTGTTACCTACGAGCGGCTGCTGCAGCAGGACAACGGCATGGACTGGCTCAACGACACGCTCTGGGTCTACCATCCCTATATCCTGCCAGGTGGGGCGGGGGCCACACCGCCCAGGACACGGGTCTGCCCCTACCTCTCTAGGCGGCATCTCCTAGGCGGGTGTGTATCATTACCATTTGTGGATGGTGTCTGTGTGCTGGCACCACACCAGGCTCTGTATGGAGTCATCTCTGCCTTGTGTGCCGGAATTAAGAGGTCTCGGGGCCAAACTTAACAATGTGATTGTACAACATAACAGAAGCGGGGGCTGACAGAGGGCTCACTCTTCCTGGCTTCCCCTCATCAGCTAATTTAATCTTCCCAACAGCCTAGGGAGGTGGGGGCTATTATTATTCCCATTTTATATATGAAGAAACTGGAATTCAGAGAGGTTAAGTTACCTTCCCAAAGTCACACAGCTATAAAATAACTGAGTGGAGATTTGAACCCAGGCAAATCTGGCTCCAGAATCTGAGCCGTGAGCTAATCTGAGCATGTGCGCTAATCGCAATGCCCCTATAGTCAGTTGCTAGCACAACCCAATGAAGTTGGTGCTATCTTTATCCCTGCTGTACCAAACTAGTATACTGAACATTTACTCTGTGTCAGGGACTCTGCTAAGCATCTGTAATCATTCCAGGGGGCATTGTAATTATCCCGATTTGCATATGGGGAAACTGAGGCAGAAGGTGGATAAGAAACACACTCAGGACCATGCAGCTAGGTACCTGAAAGAGTTCTGACCACAGTGGTGTTGGGCAGTGGGCAGCTTCAAGGAGCTGTCCTAGGTGTGGGTGGTGGAGCTGGGTGTCATCAGCATCCTGGAGATGGGTCTGAGGGTGAGACCAGGCCTGGGCGGATGGGGCTCTCCAAGAATGTCCATGTGGCCCTTGACCCACACCCACCCACCAGCCTCTCTTCAGCTAAGAAGAAGAAACGGGACGATGGCATCCGGGAGCACGTGACGGGCTGTGCCCGCAGCGAGGGCTTCTATACCATTGACAAGAAGGACAAGCTCAGATACCTCAACAGCAGTCGTGCCAGCACCGATGAGCCCCCCACAGACACCCAGGTAGGGCCATCAGGTGCCCGCCCACCCAGGAGCCTCCCAGACTGGGCAGTGGGTGTAGGCCTTCCCAGAAGGGGCTCCAGGCAGCTAGAGCAGTTGTGGAAGCAGAGGGGCTGGCTCACGGTGCCACTCCCCTGGGTGCTCAGGTGTGAGAGGTGAGGTGAGGTGAGCAGTGGGCAGGGGAGAGACTGAAGGGTCTTCATCAGGGATGCAAACAGTGTTGAGTTGCATCTTCAGAAATTACCTTCATCTTTTTTTTTTTTTCATCTTTTTTTAAATTTAGCAAATAAATTGGGTAGGTTGGGCATGGGGGGCTGTGTGGGGAAAAGTGGATTCCATTGAAAGACTTAGCAGGATCATTAGAACATTAGAAAATCTAATGGATGGGACTGGGGGCTGACTGGAGGCAGAATGGCATGATGCTGCTGGGTCCGGCCTGGGGCACTGGGTAACTGGATGCCAAGCACAGAGGTGAGAGGGAAAGTGGGACCATCATGTTGGGACAGCTTCAGTTCTGGGGTTTGTGGAACATCCAGGTAGTGAGGTCTCGTAGACAGATGTATGGGTACAGTATAGAACCTGGGAGGGGGACTTCCAGTCTGAGGATTTAAATTTAGGCATCGTCAGGATGGAAGCGTTAGCCAGAGCTCACAGCAGGGATGAGCTGACCCAGGGAGAGCGCCTGGAGGGGAATGAAACTCCAGGTATTAATGGCGGGGACAGGACCAAGAAAGCCAAGAGAGGGAGGGGATGCAAGGGTGTTGGGAGGAGTTGTGATTTCAAATGAAGCCACGGGTTATTAGGGTAGGTAAATACTCACCATCTTCACTTAAAAAGTGTTTATTTATTTATTATGTTTGGCTGTGCTGGGTCCTTGTTGCTATGAAGGCATTTCTGTAGTTGGGGTGAGCAGGGTGAGCTCTCTAGCTGTATGCTCAGGCTTCTCATTGCGGTGGCTTCTTGTTGCAGAGCACAGGCTCTAGGGTGTGTGGGCTTCAGTAGTTGTGGCACATGAGCTCAGTAGTTGTGGGTCCTGGGCTCAGGCTCGGGAGCTGTGGCACAAGGGCTTAGTTGCTCAATAGCATGTGCGGTTGGACTGTGTCTCCTGCATTAGCAGGCGAACTCTTTACCACTGAGCCACCGGGGAAGTCCCTGATCGCCATCGTCTATTCAAGAAGCGGACATGCTTCAAATCTCTAATTGAGAAGAGGAAAGATGACCGGAGTGAAGCGGATGCTGTTTCGTTACATTTAAGATTAGAGGAACTTGAGCATGTTCAGATTCTGACAGGAAGGACCCAGGTGGAGGAGAGGTCATGATTAGGACAGGACAGGCATAGGTGCGCCCAGAGCAAGGAAGCTGGGGCCACAGAGCTTAGGGTAGGCTCGCCAAGGACAGCGTGGGGACACAGGTACCGTGGTCTGTGAGGCCAGGTCCCCCAGGCGGCCGGGCTCCTCTTTGATCTGTCACCTGCCGCCGCACCCTCACAGGGCATGAGCATTCCCGCGCAGCCGCACGCCTCCACACGGGCAGGCTCGGAGAGGCGATCCGAGCAGCGGCGCCTGTTGTCCTCCTTCACTGGCAGTTGTGACAGCGACCTGCTCAAGTTCAACCAGCTCAAGGTGAGGCCGGACCCCACCTGGGGCGGCTGGGGTAGCCTTGGGACCGGAGGCCATAACTCTTACCCCATCTCCATCCCTCCCCTAGTTCCGGAAGAAAAAGCTCAAATTTTGCAAGAGTCACATTCACGACTGGGGCCTGTTCGCCATGGAGCCCATCGCGGCCGACGAGATGGTCATCGAGTACGTGGGCCAGAACATCCGCCAGGTAAGCACTGCAGGGCAGGACAGGTGTGGGGGCGGGGCCGCGGCTAGCCCCGCCCCACCCAGACTGAGTCCTCTTCCTGGCCAGGTGATCGCGGACATGCGGGAGAAACGTTATGAGGACGAGGGTATCGGTAGCAGCTACATGTTCCGGGTGGACCACGACACCATCATCGACGCCACCAAGTGCGGCAACTTCGCACGTTTCATCAACCACAGCTGCAATGTGAGTGCGCGGCTCAGGGCCACGCCCCTGGGGGCAAGCGGGGAGGACCTGGAAGCTGCTGGCACAGGAACCAGCGTGGCCTCCTTCCCAAACATGGGGCCCATGACTGGGGCCTTGGGAGGGGGAGGCGATGTAAGAGGCCTTTTCTGAGGAGCCCTTCTCTGATCTTCAGTTTTCCTATCTGTCAAATGGCCCCAGTGAGACCAGAGATGTTCCTGACAGGGTCCATACGGTTGATAATTGCAGAGTTCCTTCTCCCTGCTGAGTTTTTCCGATGCCTCTGGGGTTAGTGCTGGCTAGTCGAAGTTTCTACGGTGAAGGAAGTTCTCTGCATCTTTGCTGTCCACTCCTGTACACATGTGGTACTGAGCACTAGAAATGTGGCCAGTGTGTCTGAGAAACTGAGTCTTAAATTAACTTAAAGAGACACAGGGCTAGTAACAGCTGACATGGCATGAATCTGGGGTGTTGGGGTGGACGTGGATATCAAGGTTGGTCCTCTCATGGAGACGAGCACAGGGAGCTTCAGATGGGAGGTCAGGTACTGCTGACTTTGGGTCAAGTCTTGGCATTGCCACTCAGTGAGTGACCATAGACAGGTTGCTTAATGACCATAGACAGGTTGCTTAATGTCTTGCTACTTCAGTTTCCCAAGCTATAAAACCGGAATGATAATCATTCCTTCTCGTAGGTTGTTGGGAGGACCAAGCGGGTTGCTGAGCACAGGCCTGTGCAGACACAGTGGGCGCTCAGTACACGCCAGCTCACAGCATGGTGACTTGGTCATTCCCTGGGGCCGGTGGGGACTTCTCTGAGAGTCTCCTGTGAAAGCCTGAGGGATGAGAGGGAATTACCCAGGTGCAGGAGTGAGTGAAGAGAAGCCTGGGGCAGGGAGGGAGGGAGAAGAGGCAGAGAAGGGGAGGTTGACAGGGTGACTGGTGGCTGAGTCACTCAGCCTTGTAGGTAGAGCTGAGAACTTTCTCTAAAAGCTGAGGCAGGCTACTGACCTGGGGTGACAGGATTTGCTGTCCCTTTGGAAAGACTTCCTGGCAGTTGGGGCAGGAGTGGAGTTATTCAGAGCAGACAGGCAGTGGGGACTCACTGGAGTCCAGGCCTATGGTGGCAGAAGTGAGAGGCCCTGTAGATGGAACCCGCTGAGTGTGGTAGGTCGGATCCAGCGCTGCTGGAGGGGAGGCGAGGCAGGGGAGAAATGCTTGGGAAATGTGTGCCAATAAAACTTTATTTGCAAGAGCAGGCAGCTGGGGGCCAGAGTTTGCTGATCCCTTCTCTAGAGCTCTGAAGTAGGGCCTGGGCTGGAAATATAAATTTGGGGTCACCTACCGTATAAAAGATAATTGAATATTTCCCTAGGAAATAATTTTATTATTACAATCATCATTCTCATTTAACATCAAAAGCTAGGGGTCCTTCTCTGCCTGATGGGGGAGCCGAGGCCGAGAGCAGGTGACCAGTGGGCATTGGGGTTGTGGGGCCAGGGCATCAGGCCTTGAGCACAGGGTTCGGTTGAGTTTCGGGGAATGCAGTCCGCTAGGGCCCCGTTGAGGGCCCAGGTAGGTCAGCTCACTTCTCCCACTTCCGTCCCGCCCACAGCCCAACTGCTACGCCAAGGTGATCACAGTGGAGTCGCAGAAAAAGATCGTCATCTATTCCAAGCAGCACATCAACGTCAATGAGGAGATCACCTATGACTACAAGTTCCCCATTGAGGACGTCAAGATCCCCTGCCTCTGTGGCTCTGAGAACTGCCGGGGGACCCTCAACTAGGCCGGCACCCGGGGTTGTCAGCCACCCCGGCTTCCAAGCGTGGACCCTGGCTCTCTGGGGCCGGGTCCCACCTCCCACCCCCATTTCAGGTGCTGTCCCTCTGCCCAGTGGCCGTGCCAGGGCCTGGCGCCCCCAACACTACCCCCAGGTCCCATCGCAGCTCCGGCCCCTCAGTGGGAAAGGGCTTCTTTGTCTCAGCCCGTGTCTCCTTCATTCTTTTTTTTTAAATGCTCCTTTTGGGACTTTGGTTTAACTCCGGTGTAAATGTCTTCCCCCACCTTTTCCCCGTCATCCGCCTCTTTCCCTCTGTGTTTTCTCGTCCTGTCCTGCCCCGTCAGCCTCTTCCCATGAATGCTGCTATGTTGTTCTGTCTTCTCCTTTTCTTTTCTTCCTCTTCACAAGAAAAGACATTTTAACCGTTGAAATGTGAAAGCAGAATCAGAGAGTGGGGTCCCCCGGCGGGGGCTGCAGAGGCCTCAGTTTGATTGTGCGTCGGCCCAGGCCCACGTTCTGGAACCCTCCAGGCCCGGGCGCTAGGCCAGGTGCTGCAGAGGAGGGGGTCAGGCCAGGCGGCTTTGACCTCAGAACACTACGGAAGGCCCCCTCTCTGCTGGCGGACTCAGTGAGAAGAAGACCCCCCCCCTCTTTCCCATCCCCTCCTCAGTCTGTTCCTTCCCCATCAGTCTGGGGGTGCCCCCCCAACGCCCTCCAGCAGACCGTGGTGGAGCCAAGCTGGCCCCAGGAAGGAGTTTCCCCTCCGGGGCTCTCCGTGCGGCCCCACACCCGCCATCCCCCAAATCTTGGGTTCAATGTTTACTTTCTCATTCGAATGCCAGCAACGAGGGAGCCTCCAGGAGGTCCCAGTGTGGGCAGGGGGTGCTGGAAGGGGGTGTTTACTCTCTCCGGCCCTCACCTTCACCCAGGGAGAGAGAGAACACCTCCCAGGGAAGGCGGGTCCCCCAGTCCCGCCACTACGGGTGTCTGACCGAATGCGTGTGGCATTTTTTTTTAATTTGCTTATAAGCTTCACCTGCTCACCCCCAGCCCATAGAGCCTGACTCACCCTGCCAGCAATCCCTCACCCCAGGAAGTCTAGAGCATATTTATTTTCGGAGTGAGAAGATGCATTTCTCCCAGAGAAAGGAAAATCTTGGAAAAGATTTAAAAACTCACAACTAAGTCTGACAGGTTTTTTTTTTAACCCTTTACATCATCCTCTTCCAAGTTCCTTTCCATGGATTTTTTTTTTTCTTGTGCGTGTATAAAATCAAAACGAAGGGAAAAAAAAATAGGTTTTTGAAGTTCAGAACCGACTTCTGTACATAGGCTGCCATAAAGGACTTTTTCTCGGGAACATTGTTTCTTGTAGAAACACGTGGGAAGACTTTTTTGCTTATTTCTTTGTACTTCCAAAAAAAACCACACACACACACACACACAAAGCAAGTCCCCCGCACCCCAGAAAGCAAAGCAGGCATGTAAATAATTTATGGAAAGTGACTGCTGTGACCAAGAGTCATCCTCAGCAAGACGGGAGCGCTCCCGCTGGGGCTGCGCCACCCTGCGGATGCAGGCCCGGAGCCTCTGGTATCTCAGCTTGTGTCAAGCTTGTTATCATGTAAATTCTGTACAAAGAATTGTTATTTTTCTCTCTCTCTTTTTTTTGGTCGTTGGTGGTTTTGTTGCGTTTTTCTTTTTCTTTTTTTTCTAATTTCTTCACCCCAACGCCTCTCTGTTTGAGACTGTGCCCACTGGTTTCAAGGTCAATGAAATCGGTGGCATGAAGACACAGAGGGGGACCCGGGTACAGCGGCAACCTTCTCTTCCTTTTGCGGTTTTCTGCCTCATTGTGCAACTGAGGAAATATTTATTTTTCACATGAGGAAATGTGTAGTTTGTAGAGATGGCTGATTTAAGTTACTTCTGCAGTCCCCGAGGGGCTGGCTTCAGTCTATCCCTTCCTCCCATAAAAGAAGTGGAGGTGGGGGTGTGAGGGAACCAGGGTCCGGGGTCCTGCCTCACCCCTCACCCTGGCCTCACCTTGCCCAACCAGCCTTCCCTAAGGGCAAGTAAGGGCCTGGGCCCTCCCTGTCTGCAGGAACCCCTGTCCCATCCCTGAAATGGCTTGTGATAGCCAGAAATGTGTCAAGTCATTTTTCTTTCAATGCCTTCATTTTTACTGAACAAACTTGCTTTTCAAGAGTTGGGGGTTTCTGCTTTTTCTTTTTCTTGTCCCTCCCTCCCTCCTTTCTCCAGCCAAGAAGAGAATCCATAAGTTTTAGGGATGTTTGTGCATATAGACTCTCATCGTATGTAACTTGTTTTGAAGAGAAGTGTTTCCGTTGTGGGTGTGTCTTGCTGTAAATATTTGTTCATATTTTTGTGAATTCAATACTATGTACCATTGTATTATAGTAACTTTTATAAAGCAAACCATAAATATACTGACTTTTCTTACAGATACGCCGTCTCTCTTGCTCTCCTCTCTACCTCTCCTCCTCCTTTCTTTCTGTAGGGGGCATACCATGCTTTAAAGGAATAGGTGCTTACTGGGCTGGGGGTTGGAGTTTGATCCCTGGCCCGGGGGACCAAAGTCTTCATGTTACAACTAAGAGTCCATGTGCCAAAACTAACACCCAGCATGAAAGTCGCTCGGTCATGTCCAACTCTTTGTGACCCCGTGGTCCATGGAATTCTCCAGGCCAGAATACTGGAGTGGGTAGCCTTTCCCTTCTCCAGGGGATCTTCCCAAGCATACACCCCCAAAACAACTTGCTTAAAAAAAGAATAAATGTTATGATAAAGAAAAAATAGCTATGAGGAGGGGGTTTCAGGGGGAAGGAGATGAAATTTTCTTTTTTTTTGAGATGAAATTTTAAATAGGATGGTCAGGGAAGCCCACTTACCTGACATGTGAACAAAGCAGAAAGGAGATCAGGGAGTCAGCTCTGTGGAGATCTGGGGGAAAGGTGTTTGAGGCAGAAGGAACAGTGAGTGCAACGGTCCTGCGGCAGGAGCCTGCCTGGTATGTTTGAGGACCAGCAAGGAGGCTTGTATAGCTGCAGCTGAGTGACAGGAAGGGTGAGGCAAGGAAATGAGGTCTGAAAGGTACCTCATGGGGGAGGCAGATGCTGTAAGGCCTTGCAGGGCAGTGCAGGAACACGCCAGGGTGTCCACTTCAAGGCTCAACAAAAGACACTTCCAGATCTCAGTTTCCTTCATGATCCCTCTCCAACCTGCTGCTGTGTTTTCCACCTTGATCAATGTCACTTCTATTCCATGCCTCCACCCACCCACCACTGCTGCCGCTGGTTACCTAAGCTCAAAGGCTGGAAATCCTAGACTTTTTTTCCCTTGGCTCCCAAGGCTGATGGTTCTTCTTCTACCGTATTCTTCAGATTCATCCACCCCTCCCTCTTGCCCCTTAGTTCCACAGGCAGAGTCCTCTCCACTTCATCTGCTGTGGGGGCCAAAAACGGAGTCTCAACTCCATACATCTGCATGCACAGGGCACGCAGGGCTGTGCTAGAGAGGAAGGAAGTGCCAGGTAGACTCGGGCGAGAGCCCCGCACCCAGACCCCTCTCTAAAAATAACAAGAGCAGGCACATAGCACTGGTGCAGTGCCAGCCACAGTTTGAAACATCTTTGACATTAAACTCACAGTAGTGCAAGGGCTAGGAGGTAAGTATTGTCCTCATTTAACAAGTGAGGGAAACTGAGGCACTGAGGGATCAAGTAGCTTGCCCAAGTTCACGTAGCTAGCAAGCACCTGATATAGGTGTGAACCCAGGTAGTCAGGCTCCCCTAGTCTATGCTCAGTTCCTGTGGGTCTGCTCTGCCAACACCCCATCTGAAGAGGCAACAACTGCTTTGCACCAGCTGATCGTTGCTGCATAAGAAGGCAAGTTCAGAACGGCCTGACTGGATTTCACTGATGAAACAGTGAATAAGAATTCACCTACCCACCTGAAACTATCACATTATTTGTTAATTGGTCTTATCCCAATACAAAATAAAAAGTTTTAAAAACTTCAACTTAATTGGATTTTTTCAAATGGATAAATACAACTGTATTAAAAAATCTGCCTGCCAATGCAGGGCACATGGGTTCCATCCCTGGTTCAAGAAGATTCTACCCGCCTCAGAGCAATTAAGCTCATGCACTGCATTACTGAATCCAAGTGCTGCAACTACTGAACACCTATAGCCTGCACTCCGCAACAAGAGAAGCCACCAAAATGAGCCCACCCACTGCAACGAAGAGTAGTCCCTGCTTGCTGCAACTAGAGAAAACCCTCACAAAGTAACAAAGACCCAGTACAGTCAAAAAAAAAAAGAAAAAAAAACTGCCTGGTTGTTCCAAGTAGAACCAGAATCCTAGAATTTGTATGTGAAATATCCCGAACTTCTGAAATGTTGACTTGAACTTGTTGAAACCAGGCAGATGAAATAAAATACATCCGTGAGTCAGCTTTGGCCCATGAGCCACCAGTTGGCAACCTCCTGTGTCACAGAATTTTCCTTCTTTGCATAAACCATGGGAAAACAGGGGGAGGGTATTTTTAACCAGCAGCACGGGCCTGGCACCTCCCATTGTTCCTCAGGTTTCTCACTGCTGTTCTTTTCATTTCTGAATTCATAATCCTAGAAGCCTGATTTTCTATAACCTGACCACCCCCCCAAAAAAAAATGTCATCCCAACTCCTTCATTATACCGACTCCAATTTTTTTTCTTACACTGGGCTTATAATTTGGGCTGTCAAGCATCAGAAGCAGAAGAGATCCTATTTGCCCCCATCTCCTCTTCTCTGGTTTTGAAGAAAAATTTCCTTCCAAGTGTTTTAGGACCAGTAGCTCCTTTCCCAACTATATCATTACTTTGCAAGGGCTATTCATTCATACTTGAGTATGAACCAGGCTCTTTCCAAATGGAATCCACACTAGGAGCAGGGCTCCGGGGAATGGGGCTGCATTTGGGAATGGGATTGGGGGCACTAGGGTCTGCCTTGATGAGTGTGTGCTCAGTTGCTGTGTTGTGTCTGACTCTTTGAGATCCCATGGACTGTAGCCCACCAGGCTTCTCTGTCCATAGGATTTTCCTGGCAAGAATACTGGAGTGGGTTGCCATTTCCTCTTCTAGGGGATCCTCCTGACCCAGGGATCAAACCCTCCTCTCTTGCATCAGCAGGTGGATTCTTTGTCACTGAGGATAGAGGGCAGAAGCTGAAGGGCTCAGACCCCTTCTACCAGCTCTCACATCAGGAACCAAGTCCAGTGGTTGAGCAAGTATGATGCCCCCAAGTCCTTTGGCTAACACCTTTCTGTCCAGAAGTTTGGGCTCAGGGCAGCAAATTTGAGGACAGTTCATCCTTAGAGATCATAACGCCATCGGACAGGATGCTGCCAAGCGATGTCGAACTTTAGGGCCTTTACCCTTGCTGTACCTTTCTCCTAGGATGCTCTTTCCCCAGATTTTCCCATGGCTGCTTCCCAAATATCACCTCCCAGAGAGCCCTTCCCTCGATCGAAATTGGCCCTCCCTCCGACCCTTACCTCTACACAAGTTCATCACTTGCTTTATTTTCTTAATAGCGCTTACCACAAAAAGATATTGTCTGTGTTTTCCTTTAGAGTGTGAGCCCTCTTCACCCATTGGTTCCATAACTCCCCTCCGACCTACTTGGTCCTACTTAGCACACGGTTGCACCAGGAGCCTCCTAAGCTTCCCCAGCCTCCTTCCCAACTCGTAAAGCAGACGCCTCCTACAGCGCTGCCGCCTTGAGCTCCCCCTGGCGGCCAAAGGACGTCACTGCTCCAGCCCGACACAAACGCGTGGACACTGCCTTGGACTCCGCTTTTCTTTATACCCGAGGGCAGGAGAGGTAGAGGCCCAAACGAGGGGGCGTGATAAGTAGTGGGCGGAGCCTTGAGTGTGTGTGGGAGGGGGTCCCGGAGTCGGGTGGTGGGCGGGGCCTAAAGGGCGTGGTCGGTAAGGAGGGCTCACTTCAGCTCCAGTGGAGTGGGCGAGTCACAGGGTGAGGGGGCGTGGTCCGCCGTGCGCCCCGCCCCCGAAGGTGGGTGGGGCCTCGGTGGCTCTTGCGGGACCTGCTGTGCCTACATGCCGGACACAACCCCGTTGGGCTCCGTGTCGGTGAGGTTGCCTCGCAGGTCCTGCTCCTCCTCGAAGGCCTTGAACAGTGAGTTGAAGTTGCCGGCTCCAAAACCCTGGGGCGGGATAAAGGAGATGAGCTGCGGAGCCCAGAGAGCCACGCGCCGAGGACAGGCCGTCCTTGGTGGTACCTGGTGATTGTGGCGCTGAATGACTTCCAGGAAGAGCGTGGGCCGGTCCTGCATGGGTTTGGTGAAAATCTGCAGGAGGTAGCCTTTCTCGTCGTAGTCCACCAGGATCTTCAGCTCCTAGTAGGGGGCAGGGGACTAGGTAAGGGGCAGGCTGGCTCGCCCCCCTAGCCTGAAATGGTGGGATCCTTAGAAAGGCCGTGGGGGTTCCTGCACCCCCAAAGCCAAGAAAAGACCATTTTCTGCAGCAATTCCAGACACTTCCAAATAGATTCCCCCAATTGTCCTCTTAGCACCTCCCCACTTCAGACCGTGTGTCAGCCACCTAAGGCTGGTGTGGACCACCCAGCTACCACCCACACAGCTCTTCCGTGCTTCTGCTTTTGCCTCCTTACAATCCATCTTCTACACAGACAGAGATCTTTTAGAAATCAGATCATCTCTGTTTCCATTCTCCAGTGGAAACTAGAACTCTCCTCTGTGGCTGCTGGGAATGTAAAATGGTACAGCTGCTGTGGAAAACAGTCTGAGGGTTCTTCCGAAAGTTAATAGTCAAGTTACCATATGACCCAGCAGTTTCACTCCTGGGTATCTACCCAAGAGAATTAAAACTCGTCCACACAAAAACTCATACCCAAAGGATCATAGCAACATTATTCCTAGGAGCCAAAAAGTAGAAACAAATATCTGTCAGTGAATGAATGGATAAGCAAAATGTGGTCTCTTCATCCAATGGAATATTATTCAGTTTTATAAAAAGGAACACAGTACTGACACAGGTGTCCTGGATGAACCTTGAAAACTTTATGCTGAGTGAAAGAAGTCAGTCACAAAAGATTACATATTATATGATTCTATTTATATACTTGTTTAGAAAAAAGCAACTCCATAGAGACAGAAATCAGTGATTGCCTAGGGCTAGGGGTGAGGAGAGAAGGTAGACAGAGAGATTGGGAAGTGGTGGCTAAGAAGTCTGAGGTCTCTTTTGAAAGTGATGAAAATGTTCCAAAATTGATTTTGATGATTGCTGCATAATATAGTGAATAGCCAAAAACCACTGAATTGTGTTTTTTTTTAAAAAATGACATGTTCTGTGACTTGTATATCAATAAAGTTGTTAAAAATAAAGCCAAGAAAACCTCCAAAAAAACAAAACAAAACAAAACAAAAACCAAACCCAAACCTCCAGTGGTTTCTGACCACAGAAGAAAAAAAATCCAGACTCCTAAATAGCCTACCAGAGGAACTGGCTCCTGCCTACCCCTGTGACCTGGGCCACTCCTTAAACATTTCCCTTCATCCGCTCTGGCCCTCTTTCCGTTCTCAGATACTCAGAGCTTGCTGCTGCCTCAGGGCCTTTGCACTTGCTATTTCCTCTGCCAGACTGCTCTTTCTTTAGAGCTTCATGCAGCCAATTGCCTCTCATCATCTAGATCAGGGTTCCCGAACCTCTGGGATCTATGCCTGATGATCTGAGATGGAGCTGATGTAATGATAATAGAAAAAAAGTGCACAATAAATATGATGTGGTTGAATCATTCCCAAATCATCTCCCCCCATCCCTGGTCTGTGGAAAGATTGTCTTCCATGAAACTAGTCTCTGGTGCCAAAAAGGTTGGGGGCCATTGAATTAGATTTCACTGAAATGTCACCTCCTCAGAGAGGCTTTCCCTGTCTGCCTCCTATGTAGTAGCCCCAGGTCACTCTCTGTCATAGCCAGTTTAAGCACCAACTCTCTCTCTCTCTAATGGTGTTTGTATTACTTACTTATTTGTTTGTCATCTGTCTCCTCACTAGAATGCAAGTTCATGATGGCAGGGCCCTGGTTTGCTCTCCTCCCTCTCCCCCACATCGCAGAGCCTGATGCCAGGTTTAGATGACGTTTGTGAGGTAAGATGGAACTCAGGGCTTGTTCTCCTTGGCTGACCCAGGATTGGGCTCTAAGCCTCACCTCCAGGATATCAATATTCTCCTTCACCCGGATCTTGGCCGACTTGAGCTTCTCCCGCAGTTGTTTGTAGTATGTAGATGGAACGGCCAAAAACTCCACGCCTCTCTCTCTCAAGTGGCGAATCTGTCTCAGCGCAGGGTCAAGGTCAGTCCTCCCTCCATGCTCAACACCCCCAGCCAGGTAGAAATGCTGAGCCAGGGTCCCTTTCCCAGCCCCATCAACTGCTACAATGCAATGTGACCTTATCCCCTTCCACCTCTGGGCTTTGTGGGTCTCATGAGAAGAACTACAATCACTAACACTTATGGAACCTCATGATGTGCCTATCTTGGCTTCCCCGGTGGCTCAGTGACAAGAAATCCGCCTGCAATGCAGGAGACCTGGGTTCGATCTCTGGGTTGGGAAGATCCCCATAGGAGGGCACAGCAACCCACGCCAGTATTCTTGCCTGGAGAATCCCATGGACAGAGGAGCCTGGTGGGCTAAAGCCCATGGGTCACGAAGAGTCGGACATAACTAAAGGGACAGCACACACACATGCATGTGCCTGTCTCAAGCACTTTCTATGTACTGTCTCCTTATGTTGATGCAGTGATCTTCTGAGACATTTGGATGATTATTCTCCACATTTCATAGCTGGGAAAACTGAGGCCTTGACAGATTAAGTATCTATTCTCAACATAGTAGCCAGGGGAGTTTATTAAAATACTAGTCAGATTATGTCACTCTTCTACTTACCCCACCATGGTGTCTCAGAGTCAAATTCAAAGTTCTCACCATCTGCCGACTCCTACCTTCTGACCTCATTCCTGACCCCTCTCTCCTTTGTTCATTCTGTTCTAGCTGTTCCTTTGTTCTTTTTAATCTTTATGTCACACCAAATGGCGTGTGGGATCTTAGTTCCCCAACTGGGAATCGAACCCATGCCCCCTGTGTTGACAGCACAGAATCTTAACCTCTGGATCACCAGGAAGTTCCCTCAATAAGCATCTATTGAGCAAATGAAGAAATGAATGAAATGAAGTTGCTATGGTCATGCAGTGAATTCTTGGTCGCACTGGGACTGAATGGTACAGTCCAGGCTCTTGTCCACTTGGTCACCCAACCTCCTCAGAGGTTGGAGCCATAGACTCAGGACACTTAATTTGACTGAAAGGACCTACTGGATCCTATGACTTAATATCCTCATTTTCAAGTTGAGACAACTGAAGCCCAGAGAGGAAGTTGAATCCCTGGAGACACACAACAGGTCACAGGTAGAACCGGGTCTAGATCTGGGCTTCCTGTTACTCTGGCACTTGCTTCTTCTGTAGCAGAGAGGCTGAACTCTCTGGGGGTGGCAGTGTGCCTGCACATGAATGGCAGGAGCCAGCAAGGGAACCCCGTCAGCTGTCTCGGCCGGTGAAGGGGACCCAGGACTGCCACTTGCCACCCCCACCCCTGGCCCCTGACTCAGTTTGCAGAGTTTGGCTCTGGAGCTGAATGGGAGGTGAATTAGGACCAGGGATAGGCTTCTCACCGCTGTGATGATGTCTTTGGTCTTGAGAGCAATGTGCTGGACCCCAGGGCCCCCATTATAGTCCACATATTCCTGCAGGAGGGAAGCAAGGAAACCATTGTCAGTGGCTCCAGCCGAGAGCCTCAGCTGAGAGAGCCCTTACACTTCTTCCCTGCTTCCCTCTTTCCCTGCCACGGTCCCCGGGGCGGGAGGCAGAACCCACCTGGATCTGGGACTTCTTCTTGCCCGGTGCTGGCTCATTAATGGGCATCTTGATGGATTCCTCATAATTGGCCACTACGATGGACCGCAGAGAGCTGTACTCCGTGTGCACCTGCGTGTCATCCACAGACCAGAAACGGTGGAACTGCAAGTTCTTCAGGTACCTGCGGGGTTGCCGGAAGGGCCCGCTGGCTCTGAGTGCCAGCCTAGGACTGGGCCTCTGCCCTTACTCCACCTTCCAGAATTTGCTGCCTGAGCAGGCATCACTGCCTTGCACATCACACATATCATAGATTTTAGGACAGTGTTCCTCTGGGTGGAAGTAAAGCATCTGGTAACAAGATCTGTAAACATGATGACACACCAACAGATGGAGGACCTTTTTTTTTTTTAAAGCATCATTTATTTATTAAAAAATAATTTTTATTTTTTAAAATAAATGATTTTTATTTTTAGAAAATGATTTTTAAAAATAATTTTTAATAGGTTACTTTGTGCACATGTGGGATCTTAGTTCTCTGCACGTGTGTGTGTGCTCAGTCACTTCAGTTGTGTCTGACTCTTTGTGACCCTATGGACTGTAGCCCACCAGGCTCCTCTGTCCATGGGATTTCCCAGGCAAGAATACTGGAGTGAGTTGCCATGCCCTCCTTCAGGGGATCTTCCTGACCCAGGGATCAAACCCTTGTCTCCTGTAGCTCCTGCCTTACAGGTGGATTCTTTACTGCTGAGTCACTGGGAAAGCCCCCTAGTTTCCCGTTAGTCAAACCTGTGCCCACTTGTGCAGTGGAAGTGTGGAATCTTAAGCACTGAACCACCAGGGAAGCCCCTGGAGGTGCTTTTGAGAAGGGGTACTTGCTTCTAATGTGCACCCATGAGCTCTTTGGGTAGTGGTGGCCTTCCTCTACTGACGTATTGGAAAAGACGCTGATGCTGGGAAAGATTGAAGGCAGGTAGAGAAGAGGGCAAGAAAGGATGAGATGTTTGGATGGCACCACCGATTCATTGGACATGAAATTGTGCAAGCTTCAGGAGATGGTGAGGGGTGGAGAAGCCTGATGTGCTGCAGCCCACAGGGTTGCGAAGAGTTGGACACGACTTGGTGACTGAGCAACAACAACAAAACCTTCCTTCAAGCCTCCCTGAACTGTGACACCCCCTGTGCTGATTCTCCAAGGTTTCCTGGAGGGAGGATTGGTGGGTCAATTTGGGCCTTAAATCATCAGATCTCCATGGTGACAATTTTACAGAGAACAGATGAACCAGTGACCTCAGGCTAACCTTCCCCACCTTGTGCTGTATTTCCTGATAAGACTGGGGAGTGGGTCTGTCACAAGTGTGGGAAGGGCTTGGGCCAGGAACACACCATTCAGAGGCAGACACCATCTCTTGATCAGGCTGGTTTCCCACAATGTGATCGATTATCTCAAGACTGCAGTTGGGCCTGGAGAGGGAAATGGTTAGTGGGTGAGGAGAAAGCTACTCCCTGAATCTCCTTCTCCCTACCCCTCAATAACAATAACTGCTCATTATTCTATAGCACTTACTATAGACACTTTATTTGCATCCACTCACATACTATTACTAGCCCCGTTTTACAGATAAAGAAACTGAGGCTTAGAAAAATAACTTGCTGGGACTCCCTGGTGGTCCAGTGGTTAAGAATTCACCCGCCAATGCGGGGGATGCAGGTTTGATCCCTGTTGGGGACTATGATCCCACATGCAGCCGGGCAGCTAAGCCTGTGTGCTACAACTACTGAGCCTGCATGCTCTGGAGCCTGCGAGCCCCAACTAGAGAAGCCCATGAGCTGCAGTGAAGACCCAGCACAGCCAAACAAGAAAGAAAAGTAACTTGCCCAGGTTAAATAGCTGGGAAGTAACAGCTGAAATCTGAACTAAGGCAGTCGGGTTCCAGAGCCCGTGCTCTTCGCCTCTATGCTGCCTCTTTAAGGCAATCCTGGGGGACCCTCAGAGGTTCCCCCAGCAGGTCCCAAGATGCTCTGCCCCCCTGCATGGACGACAGGGCCTTGCTTTCCACCCTCCCCAGTTCCAAGGGGCACTCACAGCTTGGAAAGTTGGGGGTCCATGAATGCTGGGGCCTCGAATCCAGGCAGGAACCGGCCAGTATAGTTCATCTTCTCCACCAGGGTGTGTGTCGTGTCGCCATACTGTGGATGGCAAACAGCCTGAGGTCCCATCCCTGCTGAACCCAGGCCACATTGCATGGCGCCCACACAGCCCTGGGTTCTAGCCCACACCTGGCCCTAACTCCAAGTGTGATCTTGGGCAAGTCACTTCCCCGTTCCCAAATGAACTGCAATCTGACATTTGGGAATTTGACAGTCTCCCCACAGGACCAGAAGCTCTGTGGGGGTTGGGATGATGTCTTGCTCATGATACTGTCCTGGCTCATCATAGGTGCTCAATACAAATATGTTGTCTGCGTGAAGAATGAGGAGGGCATTTGTTTTAATTATATGGAAGGATCCTTTCAATCACTCTAACAATCTTTGCATGTGTGTGTGCTGTGTCGATTTAGTTGTGTCCGACTCTTCAGGACCCTTTGGACTATAGCCTCCCAGGCTCTTCTGTCCATGGGATTCTCCAGGCAAGAATACTGGAGTGGGTTGCTATACCCTCCTTCAGGGGATCTTCCCCACCCAGGGATCGAACCTGCGTCTCTTACATCTCCTGCATTGGCAGGCAGGTTCTTTACCACTAGCACCACCTGGGAAGACCCTAACAATCCTTAAGTTATAGCAAATCTTGAGGAGGGGGACTTCGCTGGTGGTCCAGTGATTAAGACTTCATCTTCCAATGCAGGGTGTGTGGGTTGGATCCCTGGTTGGGGAGCTAAGATCCCTTATACCTTGCAGCCAAAAGCCAAAATATAAAACAGAAGCGATATTGTAACAAATTCAATAAAGACTTTAAAAATGTTCCACATCAAAAAAAAAAATTAAAAACAGAAATCATGAGGAGGAAGAACCTATGATGGTCTCAGGTGCTAAACAGACTTTGTTGGGTATCTGCCAGTGCTGCTGTTCTAAGTGCTATGTATGAATCATCTCATTTGATCCTTAAAATGACCGGAGGGAGGGATCACAGCTGAAGGAACAGGCCCAGAACTGTTAAGTAGTGTGTGGCAGGTCACACAGGTGGTCCTTGCTTATTTAAATGGACTCACAGAGAGGTGAAGTGATTTGGCCAAAGTCACACATCTTGAGTGGGGAGGGGCTTCCATCCCATCTCCTTCCCCAGACCCACCCATCTCCTTCCTTTGGAGCCCCTGCCTGCTGCTTGCGGTCCCATGCTGTCACCCCCACTGGGGAGGAAGGGAAGCCCAGAGATGGGTGACTAGGAGCACTCCTCAGCCTCTGCACACCAGCCAAGAATACAGGCGATCAGGGTCGAGGGAGAATTTTTGTGCTTTGAGGCATAAGGGTGGGATGGTATAATGGAGTCAGGGGCTGGGAAAGGAGGGTCCTGGCATCTCTGTGGGTGTAGGCAAGGTGGAGGCTCCAAAGTTAACTCACCGTCTGTAGCACAGCAAACTTCACCTTCCCAAGCTTATCTTGCTCTACCCAGGGCTCCCGCACGATCTTGGCGCCTCGTTCCCGGGCCTTCTGCAGAGGAGATGGGGTGGGGAGGCGGTCAGTGCTGGAGCCTCAGGGAGCCCTTTGGCTGCCCCTGCTGGATCCCCTCTGTGTGGTCCTGCCACAGCCTCTTCTTTCAGTGTTTCCAGCCCCAGGCAGGAACTCCAACCAACTTTAGCTGTTGCCCTTGACACTCATGCCTCATGCCCATTTGGCAGATTGGAAAACAGGCCTGGGGCTGCGGGGGACAAACCAGGTGAGGGTGGGGTCTGTCCTGCCTGTCCTGTGCTCACTCACTCTGTGGCCCTGCCCCCGCTCTAGTCCTCAGTTTCTTTATTAGTGAAAAAGGGTAGTGGGATGAGTTGAATACCACCTGGCATTTATTTATTTATTTTAAAAACACTTATTTATTTGGCTGCATCGGGTCTTAGTTGCCACTTAGTTGCCATGGGGTCTTCTTTGTAATAGGCGGGCTCTGGAGCATGTAGGTTGCCCCATAACATGTGGGATCTGAGTTCCCAGATCAGGGATTGAACCCACATCTGCTGCATTGGAAGGCAGATCCTTAACCCCTGGACCACCAGGAAAGTCTCCATGCTGGCATTTATTGAGCACATACTATGTGTCAGACCCTCTACCAGTTGCCTTACATGCATGATTTGTGTGTTTATTTAGCAAAACCTCATTACTGTATGTCTATGCTTATCACATGTCAGGCATTGTTGTAAGTATTAACCTCTTAAATTCTCACAGCAGCATTACATGAAAGGCACTATTATTGTCTCTTTTATGAATGGAGTCATTCACTGAAAGATGAGGACACTGAAACACAAAGAAAGTAAGTCATTCACCTAAAGTCACACAGCAATTGAGAGTCAGACGCAGTAGTCTGCCTCTGGAATCTACACTTTAAACCTCTAAACTGCCTCTTTTTAAAAAAGAATTAGTTTATTTGACTGCACTGGGTCTTACTTGTGGCATGTGGGAGCTAGTTCCTTGACCAGGGATCGAACCCAGGCCCCCTGCATTGGGAAGCTCAGAATCTTAGCCACTGGACCACCAAGGAAGTCCCTAAATTGCCTCTTAAATACAGTGCTTGGTACAGAATCATGCTCATGAAATGATAATTATGATCTCGTTCCCTCTTTGTAACAACTCAGTGAGATGTGTGGTTATTCCCATTTTACAGATGCAGAAACTGAGGCCTGGAAAGAGACTGCTTGGCTACTAAGGGGACGATGTCACTGGAATTCAGGTATGTGTCAGCCAGCATCTGGGCACATCACTCCAGCGTGGCAGTGCCCTCCAGCCCTGACCGACGGGAGGTCCCTGTGGCAGAGGGCAGGCTGAGGCTCCCTGCTTTGTCTCCACACCAGCCCAGGTGAGGTCTCACCTGCACAATGTAGTCACAATCCTCCACCTCGAACGCAACGTCCTTCACTCCATCGCCATGTTTCACCAGGTGATCGCCCATCTCTGTGGTCGGCAGGGGAGGCAGGTGATGCTGGAGTCACTGCCCCTCCCCCGTACCCTCAGCCTTCTGAGTTCCATCTCCTTCTGGTCTCAGGCCCCCTCCCTCAACCCTAACCCACCCCTGTGTCCCTGACCCCCGCCCACAATACCACGTCTCCACTCCTTGGCATCTTGAACCCTCCAAGGCCCCCTCACCTTTGTTCCAGGGGTTGAGGGCAGAGGAGAAGACGAACACAATCTAAGATGGAGAGGAGAAGGGGGATGTGGCTGGTGGGTCAGGTGAACTTGTGGAGGTGTGCCCCCAGCCCCTCTCCTGCCCACCAGCAAGATACCCCTGGTGGGGCATTAGGACCACCTCCTCCCTGCCAGGCAGGACTCTTTTTTTTTTTTTTGGCTATGCCATGTGGCATATGGGATCTTAGTTCCCTGACCAGGGTTCCAACCTATGCCCTCTGCAGTGGAAGCACAGAATCTTAACCACTGGACTGCCAGGGAATTCCCAAGGACTCTTGATCCTGGGTTCCTGCCCCTTCTCTGCCTTAGTTTCCCCTCTGGTCCTGAGGAATGGGGGCTTCCCCATGCCAGAGCCGCCTGGGGTCCCGGGATGAGCTGGTGGTCAGGTCTGCCTGTGGGGAGAGCTCCAGGGACCTATGGACCAGGGCATGGCTCGGAGTTCCAGCTCTGATGCTGGAGGCCTTTGCCCACTTTTCCCGAACATCCATGAGACAAGCATTGGGCCAGGCTGAGAAGGAGATCAAACCAAAAAGGTCCCTGTTGCACGTCGTGCAAAGGTGCCCATGGGGGCTGACATCAGCACAGGCTCCGCTAACCACACCAGGCAGCTTGGAAGAGCACCCAGCCGAGGGAGGAAGTACCTCGTGGTCTGCTGCACCCAGAGGTGCCGGAGCGACCAGGGAGCTCCGAGACCAGCGTGGGGAGAGATGGGCCTCCTGGACGAGGGGGGTCCAGAGTGGAGACTCACCTGCCCTTGCTTGACCACATGGCTCACCACTTCCCGGGAACCGGTCTCCAGGCCCTTGTAGGCTAGGGGCTCAAAGCCCAGCTTACTGCAGTAATACGACGCAGCCTGAATCACAGAGTTGCAGGCAGGCCTGTGAGGGGTGAGGTGCTGGCCCCTACCTCCCCAGCGTGTCTGCCCCGTTGCCCCAGGTACTGTTCCTCCTGGGAAAAAAGCCTGGCTCCCTGGCCCATGCTGATCTCCCTGAAGTTCCCCGCTGGGGTCCGCAGCCCGGATTGTGTAACTAGGATCCAAAGAGTTGCTGTCCTTCGCAGGACACTCCTAACACTGGCCAGAATCCTCCCTCCCAGGGGCCAATCACATACCCGGCCGGAGGCCTGCCCTGTCCTGGAGGCCCCCTCGCCTGCCCTCTTCCCAATCCCAGCACCTCACCCCGGCGTCTACCTGCTTGGCATTTCCAACCCAGAAGGTCACAGAGTGGAAGTGGAGGAATCGGCCCCTTTCAGGCTGCAGGAGGAGAGAACGGGCGAGGCTGAGTCCCTAGAAGTGGGTCTAGAAAAGTGTCCGTGGAGAGGGGTCCCCTAGTCCCCTCCCTTGTGCCACCCTCAATCCCAGAAGTGAGGACAAGTCACCTCACCCCACCCCTCTGCCCTGCAGCCTTGCCAAGCCTCGAAAGAGGGTTCTCATGTAGAAAGTGAGTTCCTGTGGGCTTGGGATTGCTGAGCCCCACCCACTGAGGAGGCCTGCCCAGGTTTCACAAGGTGAACAGTCTTATGCTACAGCAACAAGGATTTAAATTAGACCTTAGAAAGAACTTCCAGACACAATTAAGGGATTGGCAGGAATTTAAAAAGAGGTAAAAGTTTTTCTTAGGAAGACAAGGTTGAGTTGAGTTCAGTTGCGATGAGGTCAGGGGAGTGCAGAGATGAACCTGAGCCTGTATCCAGAATGTCACGTACCCACTGAAGCTATTCCTTTTCTGCTCATTGCTGACATCCCAGGCTCCCAGGGCCCTGACCCCACATTTCCCCTCCTGCTTACCTTCTCTCCTTTGTCGCTGTAAGTTGTCTAGGGAGAAAGAAAAGAACAGTAAGACAGACACTTGGACACAATGTGCTTATGGAAATCTCACCACAGATCCCTACCATCAAGTAAGGCTGCCATGGCCCTAGGTAAGCTCTTTTTTTTTTTTTTTAAGCTTAGGCTTTTTTTTTTTTTTTTTCTTTCTTGAGTCATGTATTTTTAATCAAAGGATAATTACAATCTTGTGTTGGTTTGTGCCATACCTCGCCATGGATCAGCCATAGGTGTACATATGTCCCCTCCTTCTGGAGCCTCCCTCCCACATCTCGCCTCCCACCCCATCCCACCCCTCTAGGTTGTCACCCCAGGCAGGCTCTTACCATGACTGATCGTGGTCACACTTCCTGCTGAGAAGACTGGGACTAGAGACCAGCCAGGTGCTGGACAGAAATATTTAACATGTAGCTGGCTCCGCCCCTGGCCTCCTGGCCTACCTGGGGGTGGGAGCTGATCCTGGAGGCTCCTAGGCCTGGAGACCTCTAATCCAGCCACAGCCTCATTGGACAGGGTGATGCTGCAAGGCCTGGAAAGGGGGAGTGACACACCCAAGGCCACTAGCCAGTGGGGCACAGAGCCAGGCCCAGATGCTAAAGGCACGATGTTCTTTCCAGGACCCTGTGCTGGGATTTCGATCTTTGCCCTCCAGAATTCAAAGCCCAGAAGCCAAGGCCAGCTTGCATGCAGAGGTGACTCCAGAATTCATAATTAAGGGGAATTCGAGGGGCATTAGGGACTGGTCCTGAAGCCCTGTTTGTATAGCAAGTGTGCATTTTATATTTAGGTAAAAAGGTTGCATTCCATAGTGGTTAGAGGCATGGGTATGGAGGTTTGAATCCTGGAGCCACTGTTAGTATATACTATGTGACCGGGGAACGTTACCAAACTCCTCTAAGCCTTTCTCTCCATCTGTAAGATGAGAGCAATGGTAGTGTGGCAGGGCATTAAATGAGATAAACATAACACACAGTAAGATCTCTGTTAATGTTGGTTATAATTCGTTATGTTTCTTTGGGGTTGGAGGAACTGATGGAGAATAAGGGGAGCTTGATGTTGCCCCAGCCTGGTTTTTTTTTACAAAAAGTATTATTTATTTATGTTTATTTATTTATTGGCTGCACTAGGTTTTCATTGCTGCATGGGCTTTTCCCTAGTTGTGGCGAGCAGGGGCGACTCTTGGTTGTGGTGCTTGGCTTCTCTCTCCTTTTTTTTAAACTGTGTCCCCTGCACTGGATCAACAGGGAAGTCCCAGCCTGGGTATTGGGGAAAAGGTTGTGGCCCTACCCCTGGCCTGGAGTGGGTGGGATCTGGGAGCTAACGCCCTGGGAGGAGGAAGGCCCAGGTTCTTCCCCAGAACCCCCCATACCTGAATCTTCAAGGCCTAGTTCCCTGGAACATGGTGTGGTGACTTCTGGCCAGCTGTGGCATTTACCTGAGGGCTCCAGGACAGCTCCCCCACCCTCCTCTAACTCCACCTCAGTCCCCAGAAACCCCATTGCTGAGCTGTCTTCCTAGGGAACTGACTTTATCAACTATCCTCATTGCCTGAAAAAAAAAATCCTTCTAGTCCCTGATGCTGGCAGTCTCAGCCTGTGACTATACCCCTCACCCACTGTCTTGCATTTTGGCTCCCCAAATGTCCTGCATTAGACTTTGTTGTTGTCTTTTGAAAGTAATGTTTATTTTGCCTCAGTGACAAATCATTCATAGTTTTTTCCAATTTATTTAAACTAAAAAAAGTTTCACTAATTTCTCCCACTCCCTGCTCCATCCCCCACCCCCACCTCTGACAATCACAGGTCAGGTCTCTGTCTGTGAACCTGGTGTACGGTGTGTTTTGCTTTGTTTGTTTGTTTTTTTAACACATTATTGACCAGAGGTGTATTAATACATCCTTTGTTATCTGAACCTTATTGACCGGAGACCTAGCAGTATCACTTACATAGCAAATCACCAGTCACAGGTGTTAGTTTCTGCAAAAATTCCACTATCAATAATGAGTTAAGATACTGCACGTAAGAGAGATCATAGGAAGACTACCCTGTTGGTCCAGTGGTTAAGATTCCATGCTTCCAATGTAAGGGGTGCAGGTTCAATCCCTAGTTGGGGAACTAAGATCCATATGCTTAAAAAAAAAAGTAAATTTCAAGAGAAGGGAGGATAAGCACATTAGCCAGGTAAAGAAAACTTGGGTGTGAAATCCAGAACATTTACACCCAGGTTTTCTTTACCTTTTCACATTCATTATCAATTATGAATGTTATGAGTATTCCATTGGCTTTAACACTAATCCTAATTATAACACCGGATGTAACCCTACCTCTGCCCTACGGCTCTCTTTGTCCTAAAGTTAACAAATACCCTAAGCCAAGACCAATAACCCTTAAACAAAAATCACCGGCAACTCCCACGTGGTAGAGTGGTTAGGACTGTGTGCTTTCACTGCTGAGGATCCAGTCCCTGCTTAGAGAACTGACACATTGCAAGCCTCATGGTACGGCCAAAAAAAAAAAAGGGAGGGAGAGAGAAAAAGCGATCATACAGTATTTGTCTTTCTCTGACTTATTTCATTTGGAATAATGCTCTTGCAACCCATGCCTGTTGTTGCAAATGGCAAAATTTTTATTCCTTCTTATGGCTCATTGTTTTAAAAATATTTTGAAGATTTATTTATTTTGGGGGGCTGTGGTGGGTCTCCATTGCTGCTCGTGGGCTTTCTCTAGTTGCGGTCGCAGAAGCTACTCTCTAGTTGTAGTGTGTGGACTTCTCCTTGAGGAGGCTTCCCTTGCTCTGGAGCACAGGCTCTAGGGCACTCAGGCTTCAGTAGCTGCGGCTTCTGGGCTCTGGAGCACAGGCTCAGGAGTTGCGGCGCACGGGCTTAGCTGTGTCCCAGCACGTGGGATCTTCTCAGACCAGGGATCGAACCAGTGCCCCTTGCATTGCAAGGCAGATTCCTAACCACTGGACCACCAGGGAAGCCCTATAATTTTTTTTTTTTTTTAGCTAGTGAGTTGTGAGTTCTTCCTGTATGTTAGATATTAGCCCCTTATCAAATATGTGATTTGCAAATATTTCCTCCCACTCAGTAGGTTTCCTTTTCATTTTGTTGATGGTTTCCTTTGCTGTGCAGAAGCTTTTTAATTTGATGTGGTCCTATTTGTTTATTTTTGCTTTTGTTTTTTGGTGTTAGATGCCTTACAATTTTTTGTTTGTTTCTTCTTCTATTTTTTTGGCTTGCAGGATTTTAGTTCCCTGACCAGGGATTGAACCCAGGCCCTAGTAATGAAAGCACTAAGTCCTAACCACTGGACCACCAGGGAATCCCCTGCCTTTTTCTTTTCTTTTTTTAAAAAAAAGACCGAAAAACAGATAATCCTGGTAGGTTATGACCTTGAGGATCATTCAGTCCAACATTCAATCCAACGTTTCCATTTCTCAGATAAGAAAAACTGACCAAACAGCAAGGTGCCTGACATTACTCCCCTCATTCTTTCCTGCCCCCCTCCTCCCTCCCTGCCTCTCTTGTCTTTCCCTCCCCACCAAAAAGCAAAGAAAGGCTTGTACCAGAGAGGAGCACCCCTTCCCACCTTCCTCAGCAAAACCTGCTAGGTCCCCTGGTCCACTCTCAAATTTTCACCTCCTCCAGGAAGCCCTCTCAGAACTCCCCAGCTCCAAGTCAGAGGCTCAGCTGCTTAGCTGCCATAGGTCAGGCTTAGTCAGCAAACACCTGGGAGGTGGGACCTGGGACAATCAGAGAACTTTCTTAAGCCAATCAGAATAGAACTGGAATGTGAACCAGATTGTTCTAACTCCAGAGCCTACACTTTTATTTTTGGCTGCACCACTGCATGGCATGTGCTTCCCCAACCAGGAATCTAACTGGAGAACCCTTGTAGTGGGAGCGCAGAATCTTAACCTCTGGAACGCCAGGGAAGTCCCCAGAGATTTTGATCCCCCACCCCCCCCCAGACAGATGGGAAGACTGAGGCTCGGAGAAGGAACAGATGCCCCAGGGTTATGGAGCTGTAATAACAGAGATCCCAGCTCTGGCCTATTTGCTTCTATTTGCCTCCCACCAGTCCAGACATCTTTTCCCTTTTCTCTGTTTCCTGGGCAAATACGAAGGTAGGCAAGGAGGCCCCACCTCCCTATTCTGCCCCTACTGGGCCAGTCTGCCTCTGGGTCCGCCTTGGTCCCCTGAGTCTAGGTTTCCATCTGAAAACAGGAGTGGATGGAGCCCAGAGTGGCACTCACAGGCCAGACGTTTCCACATGGGAGAATGTCTCAGTGCACCCTTCCATCCCAGGTGCAGAGGAACACTGTGTCCCCTTGCTTGCGCCGGCCAACTCAAATCCCCACTCCTGGAGCCTGATCTGCCCTGTGCCCTCGGGACAAAGTTAAAGTTTGCCGAATCAAGGAAACATGTCAGCAGCAGCCTAGGGTGCCAAAGGTAAGTGACCGGCTCTGCTGACCAGGGCTGGCATCTTTGTCCCTCCTACCCCCTGGACTTTGCTTCCATAAACACTGTGAGGTCTCAGTCACCCCTACATGCTTCTCCCATCTACGGGAGAGGTGGGGGAGGGGAACCTGCAGGACCCAGTCTTTGGAGCCCCCCTGGCCCCCTTCCAGGGGCTTCGTCTCAGGCTGGGCCCAGGTGGAGAAGGTTAGCGGTGGGTGGGTACGGCTGCCTTGCTCTTTGTTCCTGAGTGGCCAGTTCATGCCCATCATGTGCTAGGAGCTAGGTTCCAGATGGCTTCCTCAAGGAGCCCACAACGCAAATGTCCTCATGTGACTCACCCTCCACTGTGCCCTCGTGTGTAGATGAGAGGGAACCCAGCAGGCTTGAGGCTGATTTTCTTTCTTTCATTTTGTAAAAAATAATTTTTAAAATTTATTTTTGGCTCTGCTGGTTCTTCACTGCTGTGCAGGCTTTACTCTAGTTTTGGCGAGCCAGGGGCCTACTTTCTAGTTGTGGTGCCTGGGCTTCT